GGGGTATAGCCTACTATAGAAATGAGGGAGTGTGAATGGGAGGCTTGCCACACAGGCAACACAAAGTGAGTAATTGGACTAATTATCTTTAAAAATGATTTACTTTGTTCCATATAGTGACACACTTTGGCTGAAAGTGTCTCACTACACGGACAAAATGACTCAATTATTACGATATTAAGTCAAATTACTCATTTTGTGTTTTCTGTGCAAGCAAACGATCCAAACCTACGTCAATTTTAGAATTCAATTTGCATGCCTCACTTTCACAAGAAACAAATGTCTCAGCAGCAAGCGTTAAATTTATTTTGGGGCTTGTAGAGTGCAAATTTTCATGTACCAGAAGCTCTGAAAGAAAAATTCGCAAAATTGCCTCCTATTTTAAAGAACGTCATGATAACGATCAGGGAAGATATCGGAGATCACGAATGAGTTTGCAGAGAGGGAAGGGTTGCTCAAAACGCCACGTAGAAGCTTAATTGGCAGTTTGTTGAAACTCGAATTGTACTTGCCACCATAGGCGTGGCCAGGATTTGTCTAGGGGGGGCAAAGCACATCCCCCCTCCCCGATATCTCTGTACTTTTCCTCTTCCGCCCCTCTTTTTTTTTCTTCATTTTTCCTTTTTTTTCTCCCTTTTTGTTGGTTTTGTCTACGAAAAAACGACCAACACTTTCGAGATTTGTATGACACTGGTGGGGGATTGGATGAAATACATTTGCCAAAAAAAAATTTAAGCCTCAAACTGCCCCTATATATAGTATTTATTGTTTACAAGCATGCAAAACTTCACAACTTACAATTCTATTAGGATATCCTGGTAAGTTGTATAGATCTTTCCCATTTCGAACTTTGTGACATGGACACGGATTCCGCTTACCTGGCCATCTCAGCGAGACTTTTGAAGAAATTATTAGAGAAGAGCGGGAAATTTAATTCGAATAGGAAAAGGTATAATAGTTTCCAACAGACGACTCCCCGGCTTATCGTGCCTATGACAAACATACCCCGGGGCTGGTTGGATTCGATTGAACTATGTTCAGTTATTATTCGAATTTTGAGCTTTCAATTTTGACTTGAAAATCTATTTGATATAGTTTAAGTAGGAAGTGTTTGAAATATGTTTTTTAGGTTTTAATTTTGATTTAACTTTGGATTTGATTGAACCACGTATACAGTGACTTATTTGATTTTGGGGTTGAAATTTCGACTTGAAAATTAGTTTGAATCGTTTTAAGTTTGAAGTTCGTGAAATTTGATTTTGATTGAAAAACTGACTTGCATAAAGTTTATTTTGCAAATAACATACAAAATAAATAATTGAACACAAGAGAAACAGAAGAGAAACAAAACGGACAGTGTCCTCATCTTGTTTTGCCTTCTGCTTATCTGTTCATTTTGTAAGTTTGTAGGACTAGGATTTGTTAAGCCTCCTTTTGTGAATAGGGTATAAAATCGAAACATTTTTGATCATTTTCTCATTTACTGAAATGGATGTGTGACTGAAACATCCTTTCACTGGCGTAATCGCTGGTCCAACTGGGAGCAGGAAAACTCAGTTTGTAAATCGTCGTATTCTTGTTGAGGGAAATACAGCTACTGAACCGGCTATTGATAACATCGTTTGGTGCTACGGACAATTCCAAGGTGCGTACGTTCATCTGGCTAGTCTGGTACCTATAGATTCGATTCAAGGCTACCCCGATGACCTATTGCAGTCCCTGGACCAAAGTCAGCAATAAGCGACAATAGCGCTAAGGTCGCCGAACCTTTCACCACAGGAAATTACCATAGAAATATATCTGTTATTCTCATACTACAATTTTTTTTTACAGGGGGAAAGAAATGAGGACATAAACGCTCATAACATGGTCCTATTTTAGATTTAAACGCTTATTACATGCAGTACAGCAAATTTGTGATAAGATCGGTCAGTAAGTTCATGATAAATATATGAAACTTGGTACACAGTCAGAGTATGTCATTGGAAAGATATTTAGCTATACCAGGCCATCGAAGATTTGTCCTTTGAAAAAAAAAAAGTATAATTGAATAACAAGCAATATTCCAAATTTTGAAAATGGCGACCTGCATGTTATTCTTTTACTATCAAATGAACAAGTTCATTATATTGTGCACAAATCTGGAGGCTTACCGCGAGGCTTCATCCACCCCATACGGATACCCCTTTGTCGATTTAAAACCGGACACCGCATACAATCTGAGACTTAGAACGAGTATATTTTGGGGTGAATATCCCACTGTTAATATTTCAAAAGTATCAATGACGAGTTTGAGGCTGGTCATCAAAACTTCGAGGACGGTATATTGGTCATTTCGTCAACGTTTTTATGAGGGGCGAATTTCATGAAAAATCGTGGTGAAATTTTGGCGAAAATGATTAAAAACATCAATATCTACAACCTGTCTATGAAAGTCTATGAAATACCGGTTGTAATCGCACCAACAGCAAATTAAGACAAAACGATATGTTTGTTTTTTTGCAAAATCGCAATAAATCCTCGTATCATTTTAGCTAGTGTAAATACCACCACCCTGCGTATTACTCCTTGTATAGTGCTCGAAACCGCCTGTGAGCACTCTATGGTATTAATGAATGTTCAGTAAATAAGGGGCCATTCAAAATGTTCAATGTTTTAAAATTTCGACTATTTTTCCAAATTGTGGGTGGGTGGGTCAAGCTAAATAATTGAAAATCGAAATTCACTTTTCATGGCAAAAAAAGGACAAAAAAAAGAAGAATATCTTTTGACTATACGCGCAAGCGTTCCGATATTGCGATGCGTGTTTCTTTTCCAACTTCGTCCCCTGTATGTACTGTACATGTACGTCATGTACGTGTATAAAGACCCACTGTGGCATGAGAAGGAGGTGGTTTTCTTCAGTAGACTTGGACCCTGGGCGTTTGTAGCAGTTAGGCCGTGCAGATGTAGCAGGGTACCAGGTGTACTAGATCGGCTCTATAACACGCCGCGGGCGTCGATTACCAATCGCTATAAAAACTGGATAATATCAACCACTGGACTCCAAGACTACGAGGACCGCAGCCTACGCTCGCTATACTGCATGCATCATGCATGCGTGAACGTACGAGTGTGGCATTTCCACGACTCGACTGTAAACAACATGGCTGCCACCATGGATGTCACAACATCAACATGTACCGTCACAACATGCGAGATACCTACCGATCTTTGCAGTTTCTGGAAACAGCAAAAGCTGATAATGAAGAACCCATGTTCATCGTACGAACGGTTTGATTGTTCGTCATGTTTGTTGTGGAAAAGTTGCAAAGAGACAGCTTTTGCCTCCGCCAAGCAGCAATGGATTTTTTTCGGAAAGGACACGCAACCCGCACAGGCCACCAGTGGGATGTAATGATGTACATGCAAGTGCATGTTTTGTTTTTTAATACTGCGTAACAAATCAGTTTTTTTATTAATCGAAATTAGGGGTGGGTGGGTGGGTCAAAATAATTTGGAAACAAAGTCGAAATTTTAAACATTGAATATTCTGAATGGCCCCTAAATACATTGTATGATTGTTATACAATGAAGCGTTCTCACGACGGGGCGAATTTCCGGCGCGTGCAATGAAGCGATTTTACAAAGTGGCGAATTTTAAGGCGCACGCGCAGTGGAGCAAAATCTGTGCGTACTGTACAAAAAATGCATTGACTCAAACCGCAGTAGGGCGAAATCTGCGCGTACTGACTCTAGCGTTTTCACGAAGGGGCGAATTTCACAGCCACAGGGGCGAATTTGCTAATTAGTCGGGTTTGTTTGTTTCGTTTTTACGAACAGCCACTTCTCCTTATTGATTAATTCTGCAAAAGTAATCACCTATTTTTCTTAAAGTTTGCTACATTAAGGAAGGGCAAAACCTAATTTGATTTGTATCACCCCGGCGCAAAAATTCCATCTTATAATAGTTTATGCGGTACCCGCTGCTATGTACATCAGATTCGAACCAGCCAACCGATCCCGTTAACTCGGTGGTCGAGTGGTAAGACATCTGCACTAGAAAGCAGGAGGTCGTGGGTTCGAGTCCCACCCGAATGATTTTTCCAACGTTCACTCGGGAGGTAACACACTGAGTATACAGTGTTTAAACGTCGGTGAAGGGCAAAACCTAATTTGATTTACATTAAGGAACATTAGAACCTCTTCTTTCCTCCGATACCTAAATCCTGCATATATTATGCATCTTTACGTTTCAAATTGTTAAATGAAAAATGACCAACTTTAAACGCGATTTTCTCGAATTTTCACTGTTCAGACAGTGAAAGACTAAATTCGCCTCTTCGTGAAAACGGTGACGATTTGACGTTTGCTAGATTAGTCCGTCATTGAAATTTGTCTTTCACTGATTGTAATTTGTCAAGCAATAAATATGACTTGTATTGCATGGACTTCAATTTGTCATTCCCCTATAAATTCCTTTCCCGGTATTTGACAACTTTTTCACAGCGATTGAAAGATGTCAGTGTACGACACACAGGTCGACTGCTGCTGCTGCTGCTGCTGCTGCTGCTGCTGCTGTTGTTGTTAGCGCAGTTACACTCAGGTAACACAAAACAATCGGCGACTGAAATGTTCCGGACGGTCGTTGCTCAGGCCTGGCAATGATACTGTAAAGTTGGTCGCCCACTGTTCTGTGTCGTCACACGTGCAATGTCGACCTTGGGTGGATTTATTTAAATTCATTAAATTTCAAAAGTATACCGCGTGCTATGGGTGTGCATTCTACGAAACATTGGGGGGAAATTTGCAATTATTGAAAAATCATGCATAGTTGTTTATGAAGGTTTGGAGTTAACGCTGGACGGCTAACTAATAAATGCAATACATATTGCAATAAAGTTTAATCATATGCCTCAATTAAACCAAACCTGGGATATAATTGCATGGTTTGTTCAGAGTTTACAATCCAAATGAACAGATGTTGACCTCGTTTGTATACAATTATTAATTGCGCGGCTGATCAGCCGTGTGCAATCATAGTATACTCTTGGCAGGACTAGAGTTTGCTCATTTATAGCCATCATGTTGCTCGGAGTGTTGTTTCTTCTGTTCCTGACCAGCCAGGAGGCCTGGGGTTTCTGGGAGGATGGGAGCAAGGATCCTACCTCCTCACACTTGGTAAGAATTTTGTAGTCGAGTCGTAAGACCATCACCAGTCAAGTCAAAGGTAAAGCTAGAAGCAACAGTGAATGAAGTGCACCATTTGGAATTTGGATAGCTCGTGGTGAAAAGTTCTTCGTTTAACTCGACACGTACACTGCTAAATTACAATCAGTCTTACTCCCTCCCGACCTCGGCTTCATCACTCGTAATTTTGGCTTTATCTCTGGTTCATGGACGCTTTTAATATCCGTACGAAATGAATACAATCCACACGTTGAGTAGACGTTACTGCACCATGCAGAGACTAATATTCAGCCCAGCCAGGGACCAAAATCACCTGAAACTGAAAGACGGCTATACAAGGCAGAGGTTTTGTAATTTAAAGTTTGATTGGTAACATTTTCCACATTCCGAATTGGATTAAGAGCAAGGCACAAACCACACCGATTAAAATACAGGCTGGTTTATATTGTGCGTATGCTATGATTGCAATTCTAGTCGCCACTGAAAACACACGCATTTCGACTAGATTGTCGTAGTTTTCGACTAGATTGTCCTTCTCCGCATACCTTCCGGTTTTCCTTGTCAGAAATACCAGTGACAATTCGTAACTTGCATCGGCATGACCATTTTTTTAGGTAATAGCCAACACCATTATAAAATAAGACCACGAAAGCCTAATCAAAGATGGTCTCGGACAGTCTTAGTCACAAGTGACGGGGAGTCAGTCAGTTAGTCAGGGAGTCAGTCGGGGAGTCAGTCGGGGAAGTCAGTCAGCCAGTCAGTCGGGGAGTCAGTAAGATACAAAAAAGACACTATTTGACCGGCTCCACAAAAAAATGGTATCAAATCGCACTGAGCATTATTGAGTAATGGCCCGCTCAACATTGAGAGTGTGAAAATTTCGTCAAAACGTGATTTTCATTTTTTTGTCAAGAATGATATCTTTAATACCTACGGTTTTAGGTTTAATTCACAGAAATGTTGATTTTGATGAACAAAGTGGAACAAAAAACAACAATTTTGTGTAAATCGTTCTGTTGTTTTATAACAGAGCCAGCTATTTCAAAGCCTGTTTTTTTCAGTTGTGTAATTTTAACTCCAAGGTAGTAATTAATATGCAAATACGTCATATGACTGGAGGGGCTATGGAGCTGTATTATATACCAAATGAAAGCCTACATTGTGGGCTTTCCAACCAATTATATAACTAAATTTCATTTTTTTGGCGACATAGTACCTTTTTTGTGCTGGTCATGTGACCTCTGGCAAAAAGCGTGTAATTGTCCTGAAAGGAACATAAAATGTAGTGTGGTTAATCTAAGGACCTACTCCTCATAAGAATGAGGCTCTCTTCGTTTTTATTTAATTATTTTGTTTTTGTTTTACAAAAAACAGGGTTTCTACCAGAAGAACTTAACATGCAACGACGCCGGAACTACTTGTCAGCTTTGCTACACTGCGCATGTCAACGGAAGAGCTTATCCACGTATGTTTCCTTTCAGTATACAGTTAGACTTGACTCAAGTCGGAATTGCTTTAAGTCGGTATCTTAATTTAAAAAAAAAAAGTAGCAAAAATCACTTAATTTGCGTCTTTCCAGATGCCCGACAAGGTACACTTCAGCGCGCGTTCCACTTCAGTGCCGTATAACAATGCGCACACACTGTATGTACATTGTACAACACGCGTATTACACGTACATGTCACTGCGTGTGTGCATGTATTTCAGAGCATGTGCATACATGTGGTGCAAAAGTTAGCAATTCCGACTTGATCAATCTGCCATCAGCACCCCCCCCCCCCCCTCGCGTGCACGCGCCTGTATTCATCAATGCATATGCAACACCATCTCTATGCATGGGTTGCTGCATCACTTGAAAATAACATGTACATGTACGTTTTTAACATGATGGTCCGGATTCGACGCATGAGGGCGCGCGTTATGTACTGTAAGTATGCGATATATATCGCATATATATGCGCTGTGAGTGTATTTACTATATAGGCACAGACCGAGCGCAACCCAGACTTGGCCAAGTCTAGTATACAGTGTGTTCGATTCTTTCTCCCGCGCTTACTCGTGCAAGCGCGACAGCGTTCGATTTACCTCTCACGTGACTTCTCGCGCTTACTCGAGCCTGGCCCTAGTAACCGACTCGCCGAGCCGGTTACTTGGGTAAGTATTCCATAATACAACGTCCGGCGGGCGCCTCAGCTCGGGCCATGTCCGAAACGGGACTCCACGGAGCATAGAGCTACAAACCCTATGTAGCTCTATGCACGGAGCTACGGCTACGAATTATTGTCAGCGCGTCCTAGCGTATTTTCACAGGGCGTGGACTTGCTCTAGATATAGACAGTTAATTGATTAGGATGCAGCCTGGGAAAAATGTTGCAACCTGACGCAATTTCCGCGATTGTGTACAAAGTCTATGGAGAGTCAAGAACATTTTATAAGTATTTCCTAACAAAATTGGAAATATTCCGCAGTCCCAGATATGAAAGATTCATGTCCTATCATCATTTTTGCAATGAATGACCTTCATTGAGATGATATATGAAGAAAAAAGTGGCGTCAGGCTGCAACATTTTGTCCGCCTGTGTCGTGTCAAAATTGAACTTTCCAGCATTTGGCGTCGCGAGAGGGGGGGGGGGGGGCAAAGGGGGCTTCGCCCCCCCCCCCTCCGAAAAAGCAAAGAAGGAAGAAAAAAACAGAAAAACAGAAAAGATAAAGAGGCGAGAAGTCATATTGGTGAAAATTTAATTGGTGGGGGGAGGCAAAATGTTCCTGTCCCCCTCTAAAACCAATAAATCGAGAATATGTTGAGAAATACAGGATTTTTTTGGGGAAAATATCCCCCCCCCCCCTCTAGAAAAAAATCCTGGCGACGCTCATGTTTCCAGCTCTTGCACGAAACTAAACCGTTCGTTTATTTAGCTCCACTGTGCATGTCTGTCAACACGCGAGGAGCCAGGCGTGAGTAAGCTGGGGGAAGTAATCGCACGCACTCAAGCAATATACGTGAGTGAACTTTTTTTTGCCGGTTTTGAAACAAACATAATTATCAAAACGTAGAACATAGTTGTCATTTTGAATATATTACAGGTTTCGTGGACAGCTTAAATAACAAATCGTTACATTTTGAACCACGCCCATTAAATCCTATTTAAAGATCTATTCTGCCTTACAATGGCATTCAACAATCAAATTTAGTGGTTCATTCGATCGCTTGAACTTTGCTCGACATAAAGTTTGTTCAATTATAAATTGACACCGAGAAGCCAGTAAACAGAAACGTAGGCCTACAACAACATTCTGTTTCCCCAATCTGGAAATATATTTATCGGGTTTTTATTGTTTGCGTATTTCCATTTCAATCCATTTGTGAAGACGGGCTCTTGACATTGCAGAGCAGTCGCCAAAAAAAAAAAGGAGAGTGCTGGCTCAAGCCTTGAAAATATATAGCGTTGCTATTTTTTTTCATTCAGAAGATTGGTCGATTATTTACTTTCTTCGGTAAACAAAATGCAATGCACGGGTCTGTGTTCAGAATGCATGCAAATTTGACCTCATAAATACCAAAACAATATGCACAATATTTATGGAGGAGTTTATGGACGTACGGGCGATTAGTACGACTCATCATGTGCAATTCTGTGCGCGGCCTATTGCATTAATCGAGGCTACTGCTGGCATATTTGTTGTCATTCAACCCTGATGTACTATATATTTGCATAACTGTATACGTGTGTTAGTATGAGAGGTTACGCTTCAGTTCAATAACCTTTTGAATCCACTTTGAGGTTGTGCAATTTTACAGTTTCCATACTGCAGGGACAAAAAAAATTAACGCTACTTACGTTTGAATTGATAATAAACGGTAACCAGTTAGCTCAACTTTAAAGCTCCTTAAAATAGTCAATTTGAAGTAAATAATCCTTTCGTAGTATTTTTACATTTTTTTTAAAAAATCACATATTTCAATCCATACATTCGTTCGATTTCATAGTGTTTGTATTGTGGTAAAATTGATTTGTAGATATTATCGAATATACTACCGAACCCTATAAGTTGGAACACACCAGCCTCGCTGGAAGTTATGATGGCAAATACTCCGTCATTCAAGGTAAGCGATGATGAAAAAAACACACAAACAAACAAACAAAACACCCTCACAACAAACAACCCAAATGGCCAACACACAAACAGACAAACAAACAATAAACACCCAAATGTGTTCAACCAAAGATATTAGAGAGGGGAAGATGGGACAGTCCGCTTAAAAATTGAAACAGGAAGTACTTGCTCAAAGGTCACGATGGGGAAGGGCGCCTCGCACGGCAGGTAGGGGAAAAAATAGATTTCCCCATGTACTCAACGTGAAAACTGAGCTATGCAACGCCGCTAAACTACTCTTTTTTTGGAGGGGGGGATACATTATGCAGATGGGTAACATTTTAAAGCAGATTATTCTCTGTTTAATAGCGCCATCCCTGTGCTTCATGAGAAAATACCTTAAAGTGCCTTTTGTAAGTATTATGCTTAAGAGCTTTTGTACAGGTTCAGTGACAGGGGTGGTAATTTGAACAACTTATGCAGTTTGCATCGTGTTTATTACTTTGTGTTTATGGTTCAACGTTATTTTTTGCAAACTAAACAATATATTTGTTAAATAATTAATTAATTAATTAATTGTATTAATTAAAGAAATTATGCATGTTTTTAAAGTGTTTGTAATGTACGTTAAAGCATTAAGAAATCAAATGAATTATTATACCTTCAAAATATTTAATTGTTCAATAAATTAATTACATTAATTAATTGTAAACGCATTTTTAAAATAAATGTTATATTATATATTTTTATATTTTTTCTGAATTTTTTTTTTATTTCAGTGTACTGTGCTTGTGATGCAATGTTAAGTATTTTTAAAACAAAATGAATTATAACATCAAAGCTTTAAAAAAAATAACCATTCTATTTACGTTATGAGCAACGGGTTATACATAGGAACCAAATTATTCATATTAAATAATACAAATAAAATGCTAATTTGTTTTTCAAGGAAAAAACCTTGAAGCGGGTCTCCATAATTTGAACAACTTCAGGAAAGTTATAAACGTTTTAAGCATTCGCAGCTGGAGTCCTTATCGATTGCATTGCTTGGTCCCCCCCCCCGCCCCACGAACAATTTGATCAGCATTGCTAAATCTCAAAGTAGCCTACTATTTTCATTGACACTACTTTAATTCACCTTTGTATTCATTCGTTCATTCATGTATTCCTTTGTTTATTTTAAAATAAATGTCTCGGTGTATTTGTCTTTTGAAAGGTTTTTTTTTCTTCATCAAGTTTTCATCATCAACACCGATGGGCTATTATTCACGTGTTAATTCACCTTAACGTCATATGCGTTTACCTACCTGCCGTAAGCGGCGCCCTTCCCCATAACCCCAATTGGATGACGTCATCGTGTTTCACAGGTCACCTTACAAATAGATACCCAGTGTCCTATATTTCCCTCTCTAGTTTCTTTGGTTCAACTCAAGTATTATGTGTTTCCTAAAAGATTTACTTCGAAGAGCAAGAGCTACAAACCAACAAAATATATACTGAACGATATATAACCTGAAAACTTTATATTGCGGTCGAGTAAAATAAAATGTTTTCTACCATCACAAGCAGTCTGGTTCTTTCTTCTTAAAATGAACGGAAAATATAGAACCAAATAACCTTCAAAGACAAACTTGCGTGTCTTCTATATGTGATCCTATAAGAAGTCTTGAATCACACAATAATGACAATTACAAGCTGACCCCATGATGCAGTTTTAGTGAACCGTGAATGAAAAAAAAAATGCAACCCAAACATGAGTGGAAAATCACCAGAGCTCTTGATCAGTAACCGGCATTTAATAAATTATTCAACACGGGCACCAAAAGAAACTCGAACTATTTCACCCATGAGTCTGTATGTAATAAAATTATGTCATGGAGTGTGAAATATCAAAACTAACAGCAGAACATGCGTTTTCTACTGAAAGCGAATGCCAAAAGGGGGGGGGGGGGACTCATATCATACGTTTATAGGAATGGGTTCTTCCCTTTATTTTCTTATTTTGTTATGTGCGTCTTGATACGATCCACAGACGATCCGACACAGACGTTCCGATTGTGCTCCGAGCTCCAAACAGAGCATTCTCACATGAGAGACATGAAGTTTGAGCTTTGCCTGGAAACTCGATTTTCTCGAGGTGGAATGGTGCCGGAGACCTGTGCCTCACCCATCGCTGTGGTCTCCCTGCAGGTTAATGATGGAGACAAGAAGATGAGGGGCCAACAGGTGTTAGTGTGTAAACCTTAGCAGTCAGGGGCGGTACTGTAAAGGGAGTTTGGAGTTTGCCACCCCCCACCCCCGCCTCCCCCATTACCACATCACCCAATGCTTACATAACCACAAATATTGTCATACTGTATACAAATAAATGTCAGGATTAGCGTCGGATGATGTCCAGCCAAGGCCCTGCTGGCCTGGCTGTATGTTCTTGTTCCATCTTGTTCATGTCGAATTTTCCTTGCACATTATTTTGCCAAGAAGCCTTTACGTAACTTGTAGGATGCTCATCGGGCCTGTTATCCCGTGTTAATTATGCCAGATACTAAGTATATTTGTGACGTTCCATATCACAATGTGGAATAACCCACCACCTTTAACTTTTTAAGTTACATACATCATGTTAAAGCGCAAATATTTGTTTATTCCAAAGATATGCCACAGGAACTTCAACAGTGTCCCGCCGAACTTATGCCATGGTCATTTCGAGAAAAACGGCTTTGAAAAAGAAAAACGCATTGCGATGCCAACTGCAGTGGAATATGTTCTCCAGTTTCCAACTGTTGGGAGTATTTTTTCCCCAACATAAATTCATAGTGTGAATCTTGAATACCTTAGCTACTCAAAAATAAGAAAAACCCATATTGATTTTGACATGATTTTCTAGTGCATCCAACTTTAGGCGTTGATTACTCAAAACAAGGTTTTGGGGGACATTCCTCATTTTGCCACAGTAGGTCACATTTTCTTCCTGTATACCGCAGCATTGAAGTTACGTCCATTGTTCATCTAATATTTTAGACAAGATGTTGCCCCGTACTCGACATAATTTGGAAATTGAAGTAACGTGAGTACGAATGTATACATTTCATTCTTTTCAGCATCTGGGTTTTTTTTGGTTATATGTTAGGTAAAATAAGTGTGTTTAATTAAAATAGAAGTGACTACTTTGTTCTATGTTGGATAGTTTCAACCTTCTAAAAATACGCCTTTTGGGGTTGCTTTTGCGCCCATAACGCACACACGATGTGGATGAATAATTATTGGGCCACAACAATGATACCAAAATAAATCTATACTATGAATATTCAACAACTACGTCGGCGATTTTGTTCGATGAATCAATGCAAACTCCAAACCGCTCTAATTCGAGGGCGAAAAAAGGTTTGAAAATGAAAAACCTCGAACAAAGTTCAGGGAAAATGCACAAGTTTAAGCTGTTTCCAAGCAAGCACACAAGCAAAGCAAAACAACAACAACAACAACAATCAACCACTCTTGCATACGACTAGTGACATTTTTTTATTAGAATCTTTCAAACTTTGGGGCAATTTTAGGCCCTTTTAAATAATAAAATAATGTGTTTTTTTGTAACATTATGTAGGAAACATTACTGTCTTCTATTACGCTTCAAATTTTAAAGGGTTCGTACAGTGATACTTATAGTAATGTCGTATTTGCTTTAATTGACTTAACAAAAAGTTGCACACTGTTAAGAATGTGTCGGTCTATGTGAACCTCCGATTATCACAATTCCAATTGTAAATTAAGTCGTAAGGGGATGCAGTGTATTGTGTTTAACGCTGTGTTCTAAAAAGATAAGTATTTGGGAAAGAATGGTAAATTAAAATTGTTTGAGTTTCTAGATTAAAATTGAGCACTTGTTGGCTTTCTTCCATTCTTGTGTTACTATCATTAGCATTATTTTTTTTGTCTTTTTACAGGCATTATTATGATCACCTATATTATACATTTTGTGCGTTTCCAATAAAAACACTACACACCATCCAAAGAAGAATGTTCAAAACCTAACCTGTTGAAGTTAGGCAAAATAAAAAAAAACATGTTTAGCGTCCCCGCCCTCTTCCATTTGGGAGGCCGCCTCTTTTGTTTCTTAAACCGAATAAAAAAAATGATATATTTTAAACAGTGACATCTTTTGGCCCCTTTGTCTGTAGCATTGAGCCCATATAAAGCTGGCGTGTCATTTTCTGAGTCCAAGTGGCAGTCATTAAAAAAAGAATGGCAGCCATCTTGAAAAATAGCCCGGTCGTCAGGAGGAAAAAAAGAAGAAAAAACAAAAGGCCTCTTTTTGCGTTTTTTTTTCTTCAAAAAGGCATGACGCTCAACATTTTTTAATGTCATTTAAGAGAAAACTCTTCATTCCAAACATTAATCCAGTGACTGATCGCTTGAAATTACCTACATTTCTTGATTTCTTGTAAATGACAGCAAGTCAGACGGAAATATTTCACAAATGTGTTTAATACTAGACGAATGCTTTGTTTCATCATAATTCGCATGTTGCTTTCGGATAATTGCAAATGAACCTATATGCATTTAACACGCTGGCTCATGCTCGTAAAGGACATGCAAAGATGTTTAAATAGCACGGTTGTGCTATTCAATTGGTGAAGAAAAGGAAACTGAGATTGTATGCGGACATGTAACGAGAGCGAGCGGACTAGTCTGTCAAAGACTATCCTAAAAATAACAGTGCAGGGAAAGAGGAGACGGGCAGACAGAGAAAAATGTGTACAGACAACATCGCCGAATGCACCGAGGAAAGCTTTGCCACAATACAGGTCCTTGCTCACAACCGTCAGAGGTGGCACCATACAACGCTCATGCACCCATGCAGCGCCCCTACGACCCCGGCGGGTTACGGGACCAGTAAGCAGTAAACATCTCATTCAAATAAGTCTCGCAACGCCCCTGGCTATCACTTGTGAATAATTCTTGCTTAAACCTCACCCTGGCCCAAAATGTTAACTCCTATGACTATGTTTTTGACCATGGTAGACCCCTAGCCCTACGTAGACACAGACCAACAGCGGCTACAAGGTACAGGGCCTTTTTTAATTAAAGAGTTTTGCACTCAGAATTATATTATTTTAACCACTGAGATGCAACCTTCGGTAGCCGACAAGTCACACAGAACAGAATGTAGGATATATTTTTGTGATCTGTGCAATTACATTTTCAATATTTATTTAAAACAATATCCACAAAGTAGTTTCAGTTATTGCATTCTTGCGGGGGGGGGGGCAAAGTTTGTTTCAATACGTGTTGCATTTGGTAGTTTCAATCTTTGTGTAACGGCGAGAAAGTGTAATACCGCCCTCAAGTGACGTTGTTTGTAAACTTCGTTCTGGTAAATTTCGCTGAAAGGGCATGATGTGACCGACATCACAAATCATGTAAAATTCCCCCATTGTTGCTCGAAGAACTCCAGGGAATACTACAGTTGGTCAAATTTATAAATCCTTACGTATCAGTTATCGTAGATAAAACATTCCTGTGTATTTTTGGGAATCGGGGGAGATTTCATCGTAAATTTGGCTACATTTAAGGGACATATACAGGCCACGTGTATGCAAATCGTTGACATGTACATGTACATGGGGTTATTGTTGACACATATAAGGCCTCCTAAGTTATTAGGCCTCCTAAGGCATCCTGGTCTAGGCTATAACTTACCTGTGATTAATGTTCAATTGTAATTAAGCATGTTCATGTTGATTTAATAATTAAGACACATAATTGTTGTAACTGCCTTATTGTACATGCTATCCTAATGTAACATTCATGTAAATATTGATTGTGATTTGTTTGTCAGTGTTGTAGTACTCGTAATCGGTACTCGTACTCAAGTACTACTCGAGTACTTTTTTGGAGTACTCGTACTCGAATGTCAAAGTACTCGTACGCGAAATGACGGTACTAGTACACGGGCAGCAAAGTACTCGTACTCGACATGTCGAAATTGTACTCAATCATTAAAGTACTCGTACTCGATGGAATAGCAGTACTCAGGGGAAAAACATGTTATAGCTTCACTCACCATGGCCGTATTTTATCGATTCTTTCAGTTGGAAATTGTTGATTGGCTTGTTGAGAAATCGAGATTTCCTGATTTTCCTCTGTGCGAGTCTGGACAAACACATTTAACAGCTAGCCGTGAGTGGGTCTGTATAATGGTCTGACTAGGCCTTGGCCAATTACGCACAATTAACCATTTGCCGTGCAAGTACTCGTACTCGTACTCGGAAGTACAAGTACTCGTACTCGGAGATCCGTTCTTGTACTCGGAGGTACAAGTACTCGTACTCGTACTCGGCATTACTCGGCAGTACTCGGCAGTATTCGGCAGTACTCGGAAAAGAGTACTCGACTACAACACTGTTGTTTGTTATAGTGAACCGCTGACTTCAGGAACAAGAGGCTGTCTGTTAAGGGACATACTAAACAATGTTCAAGTCAAGTGGAGCCGGTTGCTAGCGCGTTACTTCTTGTATTTCTATGTAGCCCATTCAAGAAGCTACAATTTGCAAATTATTAAACAAAGGGTACTTGTACATGATATATTTAAATTGTAAATTCCATTAAATAATTTCATAAACTTAACGGTTTTAAACCCGGTGGCTGTTTTATGTCTTCGAAGTAGTGGAATTTGTTCCAATGATTTGCCAGACTCTATTGTTTTACACAGCCGAGAAGAAAAGGAGCAGGCAGGATTGAACAAACAAATTAAACCAGTCATGGGCGGCCGTGTACTCATCTCTTCTCTCACAAAACTTACTACTTCTACTATCATAATGACAAGAGGGAATTCTCAAACATATGGCCATCTAAAATAAACAGGTTATTTGTACAATCACGACAATCACCTCATCAGTAGGACATTACCTTACAGCAGAAGATGACAATGGGAACTTAATTAGCCTGTCGTTCCTCACTTATATGGTCCTTGAAAAATCTAAATGTTTGTAATTTGTCAATTATTAAACAACTACTGAAAGAAACTAACAAACTATGGAAGAGGAACATTATCGAAAATACTATGAAAGACTATGAGCCAATTCAGCCAAAAGACATAAACATGTAGTATTGAAAACTGTTTACAACCGAATTATACGGTGGCTGGTTTGTTAGACAACATGTTACGGCACAGATTATTATCATAACATTGTTAATAGTGGACATTTACAAAGACTTCTGATAATATGGTAGCAAAATACTTCAAAATACAGTAAATGTAATAAAGTGTAAATGATGACCTTTGTTCAAGTTTCCTGTTTTTACTTCCGTGACTTCTGTTCAAATGTTTTGGCCATTTAGGCGACCGATGCATTTCCCGAACTAACCACTTCCTTGTTCACGGTAAAGACGTACATTGAATGGAATTTGATTAGGTAGAGTCATTCTGGACATTCCTTAGTTAGGCCCAAAAAAAATAATCGGTCTCTGGTCTGACCAAAGTTCCGGAATTGATGCGGCGACGCGTTTTTTGGGTTTTTTTTGGTGGCTTTTTTTTTCAAGCTTGAATTGTACAGACAATGTGGGTACTATTTTGCTTGTTTGTGTCCTCATTATACATTGGTGTCCTCTATAATTTGCCTTGGTGTCCTTTATAATTTGCCTTGGTGCAATTTCCCCATTCCTTGGTGCTCCTTGGTGCAAAAATTTGAGGAGGTGCGGCAATAGAGGGCGCTGTTGTAGCTTCCGTGTTAATTTGAAGAAGAAAAAAAGGTTGACGCGCATGATTAAAATCGACGCGCACGCTGACCAGAAACAGAGTATTTTTTTTCGGCCTTAGTTCGTTTATTTATTTATAACATTCACCCCAGGACATGCCCAACTTCCGTTGGAGCCCTGCATACGGTACACAATGAAGTCAAGCAAAGCAAGGACACAAGCAGGAAAATGCACTTCGAACATGGCTTACAAGTACAAGATATAAGTTTATTTGAAACATTCAATATGAGGCTGACTACGGGATGGGGAAAAACTCGGCACAAACTTTGTGGGGAAAAACGGGGATGATTCCTGATCTGGCTCCAAATAGTTATCACGGTTGTACGTAGTTTTTGCCACCAATGGTTGGCAACTTTAGGCAAAATTGTAAAACATTACAGTTAGCCGGAACTGTTGCAAATTAGGGTTGAAATGTATTCATCTTAAGGCCCGCTCAAGCAGAATGGTGTCTAATGTTCGCAAAATTATACAAGAAATGTATTGTATTGGACTATCTGCATTAGAGAGTGATGTCAGCTAATAAGGAAATGTCTCGATATACAGGTTTTCCTTAAAGAAGGAGAAAAGTGCTATATATATTCAGTCTGAATGGATTAATGATGTGGTTGCTTTCTAAATTGTAAACTTGGGTTTTTTGAATATAACTGAACTATATAGTCAGAATAAACCAGTTCGGTGTTTCAACTACGGATGCAAGGAGAAACAATGATATTTTTTTTTGGAAGGGGGGAGGGAGAGGAACACTTAACTGCTTTATTTACTTCAAAATGACGTCATCAGTTATTTACGTGAACATGCGTAGTCTGAACACCAAAGTGGCTTAGACTAATATTTTTTTAGTGTCCTCGTGGCATTTAATAAGTCCAGTAGTCTGGCACCAGAGCCTGTGAGATGACGTCCTGTGTTATGGTTGTCTCCGCGGGCGCCCCCTTCTGTTTGGTTGTCAGGCAGTCGTTACCAGGCTTCGCATTCTCGTAGCCTTGGCGCAGACGCCTGTACGTCTCGTCAAGGTCGTCACCGAAGCTGGTCTTACGTTCTGAGTCGAATTCGGTGTTCGGTCCCGGAGACGGGAGCGCGTCTACGTTTCGATCTGGTCCACTTGTCTGGGCGAGATCGTCATCAGCAACGTGAGCATAACCATCCGACACTGGCCGCAATTTGGGCGGAATGCCCGGCGGATTCAGCGATCCGCGCCGTGGAAGTTGCATGGCCATTTGCTGACCCATGGGAGGGCCTGGAAACAAGTCCTTGTTCACATAAACCTGACTATCATACGATTCATAGATAGCCTCGTCTAGGTTCAGTGCTATCTCGCTCTCGGGAACATTCGCGGGTTCACGTATCGGAAATTCATAACTCTCCTCAAACTCTAAGGGCATATACGCGCACTCTTCTTGCTCCCGATTGACGCCACGGTGCCGTGAAGGTACTGGTGGGGGTGGGTTCGGCGATTCGAATCCCTCTGTTGTCGACTTGTCCCGTTTGATGAGAGACTTTTTAATGCGTTTGACGATTCCATCCTTTGGCGTTTCGATCTTGATTTTAAGCCCGCTCTCTGGGTCCTTGAGAACAATTCTACTGCCAGCAGCCAGTTCCATTCCTGTCAGAAACGAGATGGCTTGAAATTACAAAACAAACGTATCATCATGTCCGCCGTATATTGACCACAGACACACGGCATCAAGGCTGCCCCCTCTAGAAGATTTTTTTATAATGAAATTATTAAACTGGTGAAAATATAGACTCGATAATACTGAAAAAAAGCATAAAGTACCGTGATGGATATTTCTACATATGAATAAAACATGTTTTGAAGTTTTTTTTGTTGGGCTGTTGTGTTTCTTTATTTTTTTTTGGGGGGGGGGTAGGCTACTTATTTTTTCCCCATTTTGTTGAATTTTGTTCTGGATTGTTCACGTATAGGGGACGGGAAAGAAAATCGATCAAAAAAAGTCATATTTACTTCTGTGTTTAACAAAGCTATTTAGGGATGGATGGGCTAATGTACCCAAGAGCGCCCCCCCCCCCCTCCGCCCTGATCCGTCAATGAAGCTCTTCAATCGTTACGAAAGTAATCAAATAACTCTCCCCGTGGGTGACGGCATGCCGGTTGAACGGATAGAAAGTGTTGATTCTCTTTGACTCACCTTGAAAATGCTTCGGCGCATCGAGAAAGGCCTTCATACTCATTGCCTCCGCCATATTGTTCTCGCTAGTAGATGGTACCACGTTCCTGATCTCTAGAAAAGTATTCTATTGGTCTGCAGCCGGTCACTCCAATGGCATAAGTGAAACTGGCTTATTCTTCCACGGTGACAGTTCACTTCACCTCGGTTACTGGGAAACAAGGAAAGGAACTGTAAGCATTGGGAAGTCCCCGAATTATTGCGCCATCGATTCAATGATAATGCTTACTACCATTCTATTTGTAATTCCCTAATCCCGCTAATTATTGCGCAATCGTGTCAGTGAATCATTGCCTAATACCATTCTATTTTCAATTCCCTAATCAATCCAATGACCCTAATCTTCCGCGACAGTTAATACGTATCATGTAAATGTCGCTTCATCTTGTGCCGCACGATGACACGTTGAATCACTTCTCCTGCAATTTCTTTTATCTCTTAAGTAATGCTGTAAACACTTCTATATAACTTTTACCTGGTGGTTTGAGATGTTTAAATTAAGACACTTTTGGCGATTGATTTGTTGATAGACTGTATATTGGATTTCGGCGACATTCAAATATATGCTGTCATTTTTTTACAAATCTACAAGACATGAAAACCAGTGCATTAAATTTTTGAGCAACAATTCTCCCGAGATTTTTCTTTTTTGTTTTGTTTTAATTTAAGTTTACCATCAACCGTCAGATCTGCTTTGATTTGCTTTTAGCCAAACAAAAGCAGGTATACGTACAGCGCCATCAGCTAGCTATGCCATGTCTTCATTGATACGCATAACGAGTAGACGCATACTTCACTCATTCAATCATTGTCACTAATTTTAAGTTACAGAACTTATCCGGAGCGGGGGCGCCCTAAGTAGGCGGGGTGTGGGTGCTGTACAGTGAATTACTGTCAGGAAAAAGCGCGGCACGTCCTACCAGACCAAACAAAAATGATTGGAATAAACTTAAAGCACCGGATTGTACACAAAAATTACAGGTGCATAAGCTCATACTTGGTAATTTTCAAATTTCTAAAGGGCATATCTCCAGTCTTGTACAGTATCTTCTCTGGTATACCCATGGGCTCTTTGCAAGGTTTATAAACGGTTACTCGTTAGGTTGAGGTTTTAACCAGAGAAAAGTTACTCGTTTAGATGATAAAGGACAGTCAGGAAAGTTGCAGAGGTTGATACAAAAACAAATATGACAATTTTTTTCCTAACAGATTCTTATTTATTGGTTGATGCTACGAATGAAGGCTGAAACCGTCTTCTCAAAAAAAAAAAAAAAACAACATTCATTACAAATGTCTTATTTGAATACAAACCGCAATAAATACTACCAAAGCCTTGGAGCCTAAGAAGCCAACGTTGAATATGTTGGTTGTTGACCTTGTTTGTCACTTAGGCATACTGCATGGTATGTATTGGTAGGTGACTTACAAAAACAACCGGGCACAAACATTTCCTCTTTGGCCAACACATCCTGTTTCGTTTTCTTTTTGAATGTTACTGTAAATTTCCTTCCCCGAATAATAGTGCACAGCCGGGGCAACTATTGCTCTCAATATCCGTTAAGAGTCTTGACTATTCTACAGGGTGAGTAAAAAACAAGTTCCTTCGGAAAAATCCTGGTCTCCCACAAAAGCGGGAAAGGTTACCCGTTTTTCTCTTCAGCCAACATTTGATCTTGGTATTGATCACATTCAGTACAAGTTTCACTGATATTCAGCGATGCATGCAAGGGACACAGGCCTTTTTTGTGACTATACTTGAAAACAACACAATGTTTTCTAATATTTTAAGGGGATATTAAAGTTAAGTAATGGCCAGCACACTGCAAGACAGAACATGTCAAAGTAGGTATGGCCAGTCAAGATTTGGAGTACACCTTCCGGAGGTACGGCAGCCTAACGCTCAGACAGTGCAGAAACGTGGTAAAATACGGACACAATGGCGCAAGCAAGAACCTGAGCAAGGGTAGCCAAGATCGCCGGATCTTACCCCCTTTTATATTTTTTTTCTTTGCAGGTACTAATTTGGTTTCTAACTCTGGAAAAAAGTATTACATGCACCCTAACACCACGTACATGCGTTGACATCCGGTATCTTATGCATGTCAAAGTTCAGAGCTTGTACGCCTTTAACACCAGTGACTTCCGCAGTTTGTATGCGAGGTGTGTTCGTCCTAGCGGTGTTATGAAGTCGGTGAATGGGATACTTTGGCTCATTTGACTCTGTGACTCGGTAAAAACGTAGACATGGCACTACGCTCACCGTTTGGATTGACCCGAGATAAGTTGGCGGAATTGCTCTCCTGTGGGGTGTGTTTCGAGAAGTACGATGATGGTAGCAGGGCGGCCAAGCTGCTGCCGTGTTTGCATGGGTTCTGCACGGAATGCCTCGGCCGGCTTGTGCGCGGTGCTCCGGTGCTCACGTGCCCACTGTGCCGTCGAGATACTCCTGTACCAGAGGCCGGAGTCCATTCCTTACCCGATCACTTCATCGTGACGAAGCTGCGGGAACTCGATCAGGTACTCAATATCGATGCCCATCAAGCACGTCACGCTTTCCGCTGCGGATGGTGCAAAGACGAAAGCCCTGCCGTGTGCTTTTGTCCTGGCGAGGAATGCTCGGCGTTCCTTTGTGAAAAGTGCAAGGATCACCACGATAATATGAAAGCCTATCACGGTCACGTGGTACACTCCATGGAACAGGTGCAAGAGGACCCAGATATTTTATTATCACGGCAAAAGCTACAGTGCGAGCAGCACATCAAGCATGCCCTCTCCGTGTTTTGCGAGGAAGAGGGCTGCCATCGGGCCATGTGCTTAGTGTGCTCGACGACAGATCACCGGGGCCACCAAATTATTGACCTAGATCAGAAATCTTCAAAGGTGAAGGAGGAGTTACAAAGACTTGCCCGGGCGTCCCAAGGTCAGAAGGTCAAAGTTGAAGATATCTCAGGGAGAATTAGCACCGAGATAAACAAGACAAGTGCTCGTTTTGAGGAGATGTCGTCTGCAGTTTGCAAAGTGTTCGAGGAACTGCAGAACCAGCTCAAGACCAGGCAAGAGGCCGTCATTGCTGACTTGAAGAAGTTGTGCACCGACAAGGCCAATCAACTCAAGCACCAAACAGACCGCGCCGAGTCACTGGCTTCCCAGTTTGACTCGGCCTGTCAGTTCGCCGAGAGAGCCTGCGACATCGGTAACCCCGTCGATCTACTCAAAACCAGGGCACAGATCATCTCCAGGCTATATGACCTTAATTCTCTGGATGTCGACAAGTCTCTGCCGTTCCTTCCTGCCGGCGAAGCCTTCCTCTCCTTCACCGATGATCATGACAGAGTCTTGTCCGAGATTGAGAGCCTCATTCCACGCCTGGGGCATTTTGTCACATCTGGTGATGAAAGAGATTTGATTCCTAAGGTAAATATCGAATTTCCATGGAGACATGGGTCGTCCGTGGAAGTCAAAGCCGTGCAGAAAGTTCGTATCTCTGAGGACAGCCCATCTTGCCCATCCGTTGAAAGTCTCGGTGAGCGTCTTTTTGCGTATCTGCAATCCCCTGACGGCAGCACCACGAATTGCAAGGATCGCAGGCAATGTGGTGACTTCTTTGAGTTCGAGTTCCAACCACTGGTAACGGGACAACATCAGCTTAGTATCAGTGTTTCTGGATTGCAAGTCACTGGCAGTCCGTTCCAGATCCACGTTGTCGATCGACCCGTTCAGGCTGACGTTAGGCCGGCCCCTTCCAAAAGTCTCGACACCCAAGTTCTCCCGAGTGATGCGACTTGGGCCGACGCCTTTGCCAGATGTGAACACAGCGTTGTCTTTAAGCTCCGCAGTCCACAGAATCGCCAGCCGCAACTCGAACAAATAACGGTGCGGTGCACCATGCCCGATATCCCCGAAGAACTTCGCTCTGTAGCTAACGTGAAGCCCTGGCGTTCGTCGTCAAACAGAGACTCCCAGTTGACTGGCATCGAAGCTCACATCATAGAGACCGAGGAGAAAGGAACCTTCCGTGTCGCCTACACACCGCCAGCAGCAGGACAGCTGCTCGTGACAATTCTCGTAGACGGCAAGCCCGTCACTGTCCAGCCAATCGTCATCACGGTCAACCCTTTACATCCAGACTCCACGGATATGGTCACATCATGCTCAATGGGGCGATGTTACGAGGACGGTGCCGCGCTAGATGTGCCATGTACGGTGCTCATCAGCACGCGGGACTACATGGGCAACCGGCTGAGCAGCGGGGGGTATGAAGTCACTGCAACGGTTAAACCTTCCAGTTTGTCGGATGGCGATTGGCCCTGTGATGTCCAGGACAAATCTGATGGCAGGTATGAATATCTCGAGTCTAGCAAGACTCATCTAAACTCTATTTTGTCTTGCCCCTCCCTTTGTGGGAGTTTTGCATTATTGAGAAGGCCCAACGTTCCCCCAATGTTTGATCCCCCCCCCCCTCCAAATCTTAACATGATGATCGTGTCCCTGAATTTCGCTTTCTTTTATGGCCTCACCTGGGAAAATCGAACGCAGACTGTTACTTTATAGTTGTATCTCGCCCTTTATTTTCTTAATAATAATTATTGAGTGCATAATAATCAGCCGGATCTATGAGACAAATTATCCGGGCAAAATCTCCTAATAAAAACAACTTGTGCAGACATCCGTGCATATCTGATGTGTATGGAAATAATAAAACCTTGCTTCTTATTAGAATTGTTTGATTATGTGATTGACACAATGATACTTTTTTATCTCTTTTTTTGTTTTCGTGTCGACTACCGCCTTCAGTTACCTCGTTACCTTTACCCCACGGACCCCAGAGCCTCATCTTTTCACCGTCAAGATCTGTGGATACGAGGTAAAGCCGAATATGCCCTTCGTGGTTCCCGTACACGACAGCCTGACGTTCAAGGATCCCCCGGGCGGGTACCAGTCTCCCTCAGCGATAGCTGTAGACATAGAGAGGTCAGTCGGACTAGGGAACTGTTAAATCGTGTAATTCGTATAACATTTGATAGAAATCAAAGTTGCCTTTCTTGCGGAGTGTTCAGACGTAAAAACAAATGGCCACGTGGTTAACTACAATGCATGATGGGAATCTAATATCGCCGCTTTTAATTTCACCTTTTCTGCACAATTGTCTCTGCTTTTGGGGTAGTTTTCAGGTATATCAACAGTAATTGTTTGTCCGATTTCATTTACATTTACAATTACTTTAGATCTCGGGATAAACAGTGAAAACCAACACTTACAAATTAAAGGACTACAGAAAACAAAAGGAACCTAACAGCTCCCGAAGGATAGGCTCTCCTAACTAAAATGTTCACACATAAATATTAATTAAATTGAATTAAATTAATCAAGTTGAATTTAATTTTTAAGCAAATATTCAGAGAAACCTCAAAAAGAATTAACAGAGTACGAGTATTAAGTTTAAATTAGATTATTTCGGTTGAAAAAGGTCAAATTGATGGACACAAAAAATTGTTATTTAGCCCACAAAGAAGGTACGCTTCCTCTAGCGGTGAAGTGTTGATAATTGATTTAGAGACTGTTTATTCCACTTTTGAATGCATTTAGGGGGCCAAAAATACTGTATTTAACCAACAAGTGGAAACAAAGAAAGAGCGTCCTCTTGTGGTAGCTGTACCGCAGCCGAACGAGCTCCTATGGTAGAGTACCGGCCATAAGCGCCAACGTATATGCCTGCGACATTAATCCCTGCGATATGTTTCAGGCGAGAATGGTGCATTTGGATAACCGTTATTTCATGATGTTATTTCAAGTCGAGAAGTGATTTCAATCGACGGTCGATATCCATTTCAAGTCATACCTGGATAACTCAAGTATGGAATAAATTGAATGAGTAGTAATGTCCTATCCCTAATTTCTTCATCCTGTCTGATTATTCCAGTCAAGTCATGTACGTGGCAGACGGCAAGAAAGGCTGCATCCACCGTTTGGCGATTGACAACGGCTGTTCCGTGTCTACCGATTTGGGGTCACCCATCGATCTCACCCTACGCCACACCTTGCTGATTGCCCTGAGCGCAGCAAGTAATCTAGTGCTGCTGGTTCCCCGATATGTCTGTGTGATCATCTATAATACGAAGGGGGACAAGGAACTCAGGTAATGCCAAATAAAATAAAACATGTTTAGCGTCCTTGCCCGCTTCCTTTTCTGAGGACCCCTCCTTTTTTTCCTTTTTTTTTAACCCAAAAATGATAAATTTTAAGCAATGACATAATTTTGGTCTCTTTATCTGTTGCATGTAGCCCATGTAAAGCGTGTACGTCATTTCCTGAGTCCCAGTGGCGGCCATTAAAAAAAAAAAAGCTGGCGGCCATCTTGAAAATAGCCGGGTGGGGCAGCCATTTTGAAGAAAAAAAAGCCTCCTCCTTGCTTTTTTTCAAAAAGGCAGGACGCTAAACATGTTGACCTAGATGACCTAGCGACGCATTGAGCGTCACTACGTCATCCGTGCTGAAATGTAAACATTTTTTTTTCCACCGGTCACCCAGCCTCCGTTAAATGAGGACGCTGTTCAAAGCAATCGATCATGGGCACTATCGGACAATAGGTGGTGCTCTTCATGGCACCACAATTGCCGACGTTCGCAGGGAGTTATAAAGGGCACTCGTGAAAAAAGGGCACACTTTAGTAAATATTTGGGGGGGGGGAAATACCCAATAACCCCCCCCCCCCCCCCCGATGCAACGCCAGTGTGTTTGTGTGTAGTTTTAAAATGGGGAAAGCATCGTGGAAGCTATTGTTCGCACTATCTCTGTACTGTTCAGATAATGCGGCAGCTGCTTCGTATTTTTTTTTTTACAATAGCTGGCACAATGCTCTCGCCAATGATGGGGGCCTCCCTTACAAAAATATCCCATGGTGATTTCCCATGGGATCGCCATGACGATTTCCCATGAAATGGGGTTTTGGACCCCATGTAACACATGGGACTTTTCCCATGGAATTAACCCCATGTACCACATGGGACTTTTTTTCATGGTATTTCCACCATGGGATTGTTCGCATGGCTTGTTTCAGAACATATACCTTTCCATAGCAGAATTCAATATCTGCATTATGGTTTTACCCCATGTCAATTATATTCACACTTTGGGGAGTGGCCATCATGGGACTCCGAAGGTATGGTATTTTCCCATGCGCGCATATCCATGCGCGCTATATTATAATTGTCTTTGTATTGACAGCCTAGCGGAGGCTCTCAGTTAGACTTTTTGTATCCTCATTATGTTTTTCTTGTTCATTACCTATCCAGAATGAGAAGGGAAAAAAAAACAGTTGACTAAAAAAAATGCTTTTACTTACTATCATGCCCTAGTTGAAACGTTGGCTGACTTTGGTGTGGTTTGATTTGAACCGTTTCGATGGTTTCGTTGTTTTTCCTTGTCAGCTGGCCATGCGCCCAGGAAAACACGAAACCCGTCAACATCACCATCTCCGCCAAAGATCACGTGATCATTGGTGACGGCATGTTGCAGACTCTGTTTGTGTATGGAATGGCGGGTGAACAACTTGGCCGAATTCAACTTCCAGAGGGCGCCCTTGGGTCCGGGCTACACAACGTCTGCACGGACCGCAACAACGACATCCTCGTGGCCACGCACTCGGAGCCCTACCAGATCCTGCGGTACCACTTAGCGACCGGAAACCTCGTCTCCCAAATCGACTCACCCGTCGCACTCAAACAACTGGCTGTGGCCACGACGCCAGAGGGCGTCCTTATCGTGGCCGCGCTCGGGGGAGTTCTTGTGTTGCAGCACAGCTCAGCTCCTGAGGGCGTCTCTATTGTCCGTAGGTTTCAGACGGATGACATCTACTCGGAATTGGCGTATGTTGGGAATAGATGTTTTGTGGCTCTAGACCGGGGTAAGAAGCACCTGGCTAAATACAAGTATGAGCCTTAAATGGCAAACCCATGGATAGGGGACTAGATTAAACTGAACGATGACGATCTAACTTTGATATGTATATATACAAGGACGTTCCACAAGAGGCTCTTGTTCTTCATATTTGTTCCGTTGTATATTTTGTGTCCCATCAGGGTTGCAGTCAAATCGACCATAAGTCATAGCAACGTAAAATAACAACTCGATCAAAGGTCAGATCACAGGCAGGGACATAGGGAAGCTGGTGTATGTGAGCAATTGCAACAAAAATGACTTTGATTGTCGCTAGACTTGTGTTTGATTGACTTGTGATTGACTTGTCGAAACCTGGCGAAACTGAGCCTGCCGGTCCAATCTTCTTTCAACACCAACTGTTTACCCTTACCTTCAGAATATTATTTCACAATTGTTATCCCTTTCCCCCACATATAACTGTGTAAATAGTCATGCTAAACAAACAATTTATTTTTCTGTAAACTAATTTGTTTACGGCGCTCAGATAGCTTCTCATTTATTGTTGATCAGTATTGCCTGTAGGTTTTAAAATAGCTTCAATTTAATCAAATACAACGTATCAACTTGTTTCACTGCTCATAATGATAAGCTCTCATAATATTTACAGAAGAAAGCAGTAATAAATAGTTAAGTGCATTATTGTTTTTTTCCACATATAATTTTAGATATAAGTAATTAAAAGTAGCTTTTGACTTTGAGCCCGTAAGTGTTGTACCATTGGAAATAATATTTTTTGAGGCTTTAAAATTATTGTTTAAAGCTAGATTCTCATGAACATTGCCTTCATTTTCCTGTAGCAAAAAAATGTAACTGTAGAATAAGGTAGCACGTCTGACGCTTGTATTTAGCTATCACAAAACAATGCGCATACAATTTGTTTTGCAATTGTTCTGTATTTTAATAAAGGTTCAAGTTTAATGATAATACAAGGTCAAAACTGAAACTTCATAACTGACGCTTTCCTTCTTATTTTTTTGGGACTGATTTTCGATATGTTATATTAGGAATAAGGTTATAAAGTTCGTTCAGTTTAAATTTAAAGAAACACAGCCAAAAAAAAATCATATTAATGATGAATTAATAACTCTATAGTCAATAAATAAAACCTCAACATCTTTGCAATTTGTTTAAGAGTGAATTTCTCACATCAGGATATCTCTTTTCTCACATAAGTTTGTTTTGTCTCCTTCTCATTGTTGTTGGCGTCAGCAGAATCGTAATGAGTAAATTTTGAGAACCTTCCACCAATCAAGTAGGCTTTTGATCAGCGACTTCTAAGACACACAACGACACACGAAATTCGTCTATAACCAAAAGACAAACATATGGAATATCCAAGAAACACTAGAAATGTTGTTAGTATATCGTAGCTAGCTGGCTTTGACGTCGACCCCAGAGGGCGCCCTGTTTGACTCTGTTCTGACAGGGATGCTGTTCTGAAGCTCGGATCTGACGGTGAGGGCGTACGGCTAGTCAAGCACAACCGGTGACGGACCACTTCTGCACCTGTTTTGCAATGGGCATATATGCCTCGTTGCATACGTTTGACCAGCAGGACATGGTGAGATAGGTGCGGTAATATACTTTAGTTCGATTACTTTACATGCGTGTGTAGATATGGCTCATATTATTTCAAGTTCAGAAACACATTCACTTCAGAAAAATGAAAGAAGCAAGTGCAATGACATTAACTTGTTCATATGTAAAATAATAACAAGGCTGATCACGGGTTCCAATGGTTATAAAAGCATTAAATAGCGCCCTCATAAGGTCCAGGTCTCTCAAACTACACCTATTCAAATTACTGTATATACGTATCAATTTTCTTTGTAATACACATGCATGCATATACTTCTTACTTTCATTGTCAATAAATTATAACCTGTCTTCATGTACAAGGAATCTCACTCGCGGTTCGTTCAAACCAACCGCGTCGGGCCCCGGACCCCTCATTTCTGTTAGCTTCCTCATTGCATACATTTCTGTTAAGGCCCTATCACAGTGTTATCATCGCTCAAGGAAGGCACTTGCATTAATTATGGCGGTAAGCTTTTCACAATGCCTTCCGTTTGCTTCATGAATTATCGTACTATAGAATTGCGGCTATATTGGCGCTCAAAGATAGGGAGCTGAGTTGGAGCAAATTCTCGCGTTGGAAATGATTGTGTTGTTACCTTTATATTTGCAGGTGGCATCCACATGGTCCTAGAAGGCATTCTGTTGTTGAGTTTTGATGTTATCTGAATCTTCGTCATAATTTCGTGCCAAGACTTGTGCTGTCAAAGGGAAATCTGCCATCATTGACATTCACGGATATCTCAGATGAATTTCTAGAACTGCTTTGCAAGATCTCATAAAAAAAAATTCAAAGAACTTGCGGTCGGATCTAACTCTATCCCGCTTGATTTATTTCTGCCCTAGATCAACCAGGGACTTAAGGCATGTGATTTTGTAATGTGTTTACTTATTAAGATTACATGATATCAGTAATAAGGGCCTTGGTGTTCCACCTCCTTCTGTACAATGGCAGATCGAGGGTCGGGACCAACTAAGCTAGGCCACCCTCAACAAGAAACACTTTCATGAATTAGGCCTATGTATTTTTTTAAAACTGATTAAGCAAGAAGTCAACAAGGGCGGATCCAGGGGGGGGGCCAAAGGGGGCCATGGCCCCCCCCAAAAACGAAATCAATTTTTTTTTTTTTTTTTATGTGACATCGCAATAACGGCAGGCAATGAGTACACCACCATCTTTTCCTCAAAAAAAAACATTGGTTAAAGTGGTCAGAAATTGCCTCAGATCGCACCACAGAGCATCTAGAATCCAAAAAAATTTCGGGGCCCTTAAGCGGGCCCCGAACCCAACGCCGTAATTTTTTTGACCCACTTTTTTACATCGCAATAAAGGCAGGCAATGAGTACACCACCATCTTTTCCTAAAAAAAAACATTGGTTAAAGTGGTCAGAAATTGCCTCAGATAACACCACAGAGCATCTAGAATCCAAAAAAAATTTCGGGGCCCTTAAGCGGGCCCCGAACCCCACGCCGTAAATTTTTTTGACCCACTTTTTGACATCGCAATAAAGGCAGGCAATGAGTACACCACCATCTTTTCCTCAAAAAAAACATTGGTTAAAGTGGTCAGAAATCGCCTCAGATCACACCACAGAGCATCTACAAACCAAAATTTTTTCGGGGCCCTTCAGCGGGCCCCGAACCCCACACTGTAATTTTTTTTACCCACCTTTTGGGGGGAACCAAAAATTTTTTTGGCCCCCCAAAAAATTATGTTCTGGATCCGCCCTTGGAAGTCAAGTGAAAATAGCTGTTTTTTTTTCTTAAACATGTATATGCTATTCCCTTTCAATCTATGAATTTGCTTTTGAGTTGCCTAGTATTTACCATCATGTTATGTGTATGAAGTTGTTATGAGACCTTTTCACTGTAGTTTGTTAAATACATTATAATTGTGTACAAATATTTGCAGAAGAACTTGGACGCGAGTTCAAATCTGAGGTCTTTTCCAAATTCTTAGGCATTTTCAATATACTGACCTTCTTTTTCAAAAACTTCAACTATACTGCTCATTATCAAAAACACAAATACTCCAACAACTCTGTTTAATGTCATAGGTTAATTCCTACGGACTCACTTGTCAGACTCTGGACTAGCTAGCGTTGACATCAATACTGATCAATTGTGTGACAGGGCCACAGTGACACCAATGAGCACTTTTTTGTTGCAAATGATTTGCTGCAAAATGTGCCGGTGGTTTTTTGGTTTAATGTATTTTTGCTAGTCCAAGAGGCCAGTCGAGCTACATCATCCTGGCCTAAAGAGTTGACGACTACCCTTATTCATTTGCTCATAATTAATGATGGCCAACTTGTTTTGCAGAATTTGTCCATGCTAATATAGCAACATGTCCACACGTTTGTGCTTGTATATGTTTCATACTTTAAGAAGTATCAAAATGTTGTGACTCCTAAGAAAAACCGAAAGACCAACCCACCTTACCCCCTTCCAAAAACAGGTGCATAAGAAAAGTATTGTCTAAGTAAGAAAGACAGATATCAATGTGAAAAGAATAATTCCCCGACATGTGATCTACAATAAACATGCACTAATGGTTTATGCCCGCTGGTTGGTGACTTCGACGATTCACCAGTCGATCGTTATAGATTATTGTAATCAAAGGCTGGCAGAAATAGAACTCCAAAGTTCAAAGGTAGCTCTTTATTTGACTGAGAACAAGGTTCAATACGAATATACATGTATTATTGTTTTTATCGAGATGTACATACTTTCTTATCGGTCAACTCGACTATTTATGGAAAGGGGCAGCTGTATGAAATAATACCTATCATCAAGTCTATGGGCATGCTTGTATACGTACAAGTGCTGACATTTCGCTACTTAAGTGGATGACACCTGGACAATTAGTTCTGGATAGCAAATAGGTCTGGATATGCATGTACAGCGCTATAACATTTTGTCACTTTTCTGGATGATTATCTAGACAACAAGTTTCTGGATAGCTTAGGCCTGTAGTAACTTTTCAAAGAAACTATATCGCTTGATAAACGTTGCGCAAACAAATCACAGGCGTTCTTCAGTATGTCAAATACAGTAGTCCATCGCACAACAAAACCACTACCCCAAACCGATGAAGATGTCTTTGGGAATGAGCAAGAGCGGCTGGAATGCGTCTACAATTTCAGACGCATTGACGCACACGGGAAACTCTACCGGTCAGCGCGACAGGACGTGGCTTCCGAAGGGGACCTCCGGCACCTACATAGGCTCGGCATACGCACCTACCTGGACCTACGCAACGGGATCGAGTATCGCAACAGCCTGGGCCGGAAGAAGAAAACTGTGGACGGCGAGGTTCGGGTGGTGGAGCCGGTCCTGCCAGACCCTCGAGAGAAGATACCTTACCCGAACCTGAGCTCTGTTCCGTTGAAGGGTCTGGATGGAAAACCTACTGTGCTCGGTGAGATTCTTAAATAGATCTACTAAGATATGTCTATGGATTTTAATAAAATTATATTGCCACAGAAAGCACGTGAATTAAGATGAATGGTTTTCTTTGTATTATTAAATTGAAATGTTTCCAAAGATTTAATGGAATAGACATACTGTTGGGTTGTTGTTCAAGCCTTTGTACGGTAGTACATGTAGTTACTAAATCAGTACCTTGATCCTTTCATTTCACCCATAGGCCTTATAGCAGGGGCGGATCCAGTAATTTTCACACAAAGGGGGGGGGGGGGGTTGCATCGGCAAAAAAAGCCCAAAATGTAGACTTTTTTTTTCTCCAGACACTTGGCCTCCGAATATCCAAAGGTGGGGTGGAGGGGATGGGGTGAGTGGGGGGGGGGGGGGGTTCCTTGTGCCATATTTTCAATGGGCGCTGTTCAAATTCGACGATTATTTAACACTATATCACAGAATAGTGTACCTACACCCCCAACGAAGCTGGGTCTATCCGTATTTTGTGCAAAGGCGGACATTATTACCAGTAATACAACATTTGGTGTCAGAGCAGGGGGGGGGGGTAGCATTATTTTTTCATTAATTTCTATGGATTTTTTTTGACAGAGCTGGGGGCGGGGGGGGGGGGGTGTTGTTGACCCCCCCCCCCCCCCATCCACGCCTGAATATCCCTGACGTTGTATAATAGCGCGATCCATACTAGATAAGCTTTTACCATAATCACCACAAGTCATTGCAGTGCGGAAGCGTTCCTGACTATTTCTACCATTGTCATTAACTAATTACTTTTTAATAAATAAAAAGTTAACAATTACAATCTAAGCATTTCGTGGTAAAGTGTTAAATCGGACTCCCAGCAAGTACATTATCATCAAATCCAATGGCAAATTGTTCAGAAAAAAAATATTTCTTTTCTTGTAGATGGCTCACCCACAGCCACGCCCACACGATACCTCATAGACATGTTTCCCAAGGAGCTGATCCTGGCAGTGTTCAATACTGCTCCGCTGTACAAGCGTCTGTTCTCGCTCCTTCTCCTTCTACTCGATGTGATCTTGGGCAATCACTACAAGTACTTCGTCCGATGCTTCTCGGGCGAGATCAATCGGCTCGGACTGGTCGGACGATACGTCAATATACTGGAGCACTGTGGCAAACAGCTATGCTTCGGTAAGTAGCAACAACAACAATCATCTCGAGTCACTGACAAAATCATTGCAACATTTGAATCTACGAGAGACTCATATCCGACCAGGCATAATAATAATAGTGATTTCCGTCTAGGGCCGGAAATTTGGACGTACGTTTTAGACATTTTTGGGGCTGGTATTTTTTCATGTGTTAATGCTGTCGAGTTGAAACGCATGGTTTTCAAGCATCCCTGATAGAAGTGTATGTCTTAACAAGTAAATTGGAAAATCGTTCTTGGTAAGCACGATAGGTCCGACTCACCACTCGGTTTCGGACGTATTCAGAAAAGGGTTTGTTTTTTAATTCATATGACACTATCAAAAACCATTCTGAAGCGTTTAGGCCATTGATTGAAACTGATGTAGTTTTGTTTGTAAAGAGGGACCAAACTGAAGAAAGCAACCATTAAAAAAAAATAGGAGTTGCAACTACTCGTTCACCTTCACCACTGCGTACATGGCGCCACACCGCACGTTTTATTGTCCTCCCCGATCCCATCCACCACCCCTCTTCCATGAGAGGTAGCCCAAAAAAGTGTTTGAATTTAGTAAAAATATGTAAACAAGGCAACAGTCTTTTGACACTATTTTTTCTCAATTTCTGATGTTGCTGACATCTCATACTATTTTCAACATGCGTGTTTGGTAAAATTCAGTATTATTTCATGAAAACTACATACTATGACCTTCGATACGACATATTACTTATCATATTTTGACGATTTTTAAATTTTGACCTTTTGGTTTAATAGTTTCCGGAATTGCTCTCTACTGGAATCGGCAAGCTATCAGATCGGACGGCACAGATATTTTAAATAGTGCTTATTACAAAGTGTTTGCGTACCATTCAGAGCACGCGATTACTGTACATTCACGGAAGCCCCTTGGCGACAGCATTGTGAGTTGATATTATACAAAACAACTACCGGTACTCCTTCATGACGTCGGGATCATCTGACCAGTAGCTAGCACTGCTAGACGATGCTTTCGCAATTGAATGGTACTCCGTTAGTGTATTATGTGCTCGGAATGGTCTGTAGGGGATGAAGGGCAGTATCAGAAACATCAGACGAATATCCCCAAAGAATGAGTTTTTGTAAGCTGCATATCAACAGCAATTGGGCAACTCATTTCAATGATGATCGAAGGACATACTGATTGCTTCCGTATCTTGGTTCCTGTTCCCCTCTGATCAGTTCTGAACACACTGTCCAACCCGGAGAATCTGCCCGCAGTCATCTGCTGTGCTCACGGTAAGGACCGGACCGGTCTCGTGACGGCCATGGTGCTGAGCATACTAGGCAAGTCAGACGAGTACATAGCTCAGGAATACGCTCTGTCAGAGGTAATTACTATGCAATAGATCGTTTGAACCGTACAGCCATCTTAGTCTGAGGTGCGCACTTTTGTTCAATAAGGCCAGCATGAATATCCATTGTTAATAAATGTTCATAGCAAAACGCACCTCATAGATGACAATCGGTCTGCAGTACAAAGATGTACATGTAATGACGTAATGGGAGTCATTATATGTCTCTTTTCTATTTATGTTCATGTACCGGTGTACTGTCAAGCTGCATCAACGCAAATCTTCACTAGTTATATACATTGTACCGTGACTCTATCTGCTACTTTGTTGTTCAAACTTCATTCGATGGCTTTATCAAGAAACGCAAACAAAGCACGCCAAAGGCCTGAACTAGACTATATATTAAGACTTACCTTATTAACTTGGTCTTCGCCCAATACGAGGCACGAGCGCTACTGACACGGCTATTGCATGGAAAGTTAGCCGAGAAACCGTGTGGTTAAAACGACTGCGCGCGGAATGTACGCAAATCGGCGGTGAGTTATCCAGATGCTAGACTATTATAGAGACCTGACCTCATATCATAGATCACACGTGTACGCCTCGTGCTTCTAATATCTAATTGGTTGCTGTGCGTCTTGGCTGTCACGATTAACGCGCCACTATAATTAGGTTCACGTATATTTGAGGATCAGACATTCACGTGTGCAGAGCCACACGAACGAACGCCCGCTATATCCTAGCATGCAAATTGTATGCGACCCCGCGCACCAACCAACCGGAGTCTAAGCTAAGCTGTTGATTGGTCACTTTGGCAGCCATGTTTTTGTAAAACAAGAACGTGTTACGGAAGCATCGATAGAAGGCGCGCGCGTAATGGTCAGAATATTGATGTTAAGACGCAGTCTTGCTTTGCATAAATACCGTAATCGGCGAATCTAAGCGAATAGGCTTAGCTACCACAGATGATTGTACATGTATACAAGCGGCTATTTCATGGACTAATGGGTTGACCTCTACGTCATATAGGTCATTCTGACAATCCATGTGCTGGCCGGTATCAGACACAAATGGCCTTGGTGTCACCGCTGTAGCAACCTCGTCCCCAGTGCTTACTTTAATTCCAACCTCGTTTCCAATAGTAAGCCCTGGATAGGAAACTTTCTTCCTGTATCCTGATTCAATACCGCAATTGGCTAGTAATGCATTTATATTGTGTAGTTGGTGTTGTTATTTCCAACGTGGATTACGTGTTTTCACGATCATTGTAATTATATCGTCCACGCCTTCTCAAAATACTCCTTAAATTTCCTTTCCAGTTTGCTCATATTAATATGAAATGTGATGCTGCATGTTGGCGGGCCAGATTGTAACATTTTAACTTCCAAAAAAAAAAAAAACACGTTTTTTTCATAACTCACGGCGCGACGAATTGATGCTGTTTCTACCCCAGACACATACAAAAACAAACGCTCATGTAACGCACATGCAGGCACCAGACTATTCCTCATTTGCATACGTGTTCAAAAATCTTGCACATGCAAATGATCCAATACCAGGGTGAGAGAGCAGGTAGTGGTGGTCGCGTACTGCTCGAAACCCTGGGGACGAGGTTGCTGTTGTAGCCATCACAAGCTTCTTTTGTTATTGCGGCGGCACCAGCGACGTCGTTTGTGGATTTAAGTTGCGATTTCGAATCCTATAATGAAAACATACAACTGTATCTAATCAAAAGGAGCTCCATAATCTAATTCACCCTCTTGGTATTTTGAATGGCCTGTATCCCGCAGGCGGCCTGTGGTATTTACTTTGTAATCATTTTGTCATGTTGTCTTTGGTAATGACAGGAAGGTCTACGGCCTATCCAGAAAGCCGTCCGAGAAGAAACGTCCTTGAAGTACAACATGGACGAGTCGTTTGCTTGGGCCAAGAAAAACACGATGCTGGAAGTACTTCATACTCTCAGAGAAAGGTAATCACAATGCACTTTAAGTATAGGTGGGTGCGGACATCCGGATTTTTTTTATTATAAACTTTTTTTAAATTGGCTTATCTAGTTCCCAGACCTACATTCTTGAAACTCAATGGTTCTTGAGTCTGAAGTGCTGAATGGCAACACGTACATAGCAACCGATGAAAACTGGTGTGCAACATAATATATAGTTTCATCGGATGACGTCACTCCTCCCCGATATAATCCCAGTGACATTTCTCATTTTTTTTCCGAACAGCTTTCAAAGAATTACGATGTCTTTGAGTAAATAAATTGTTTTTTTCCCCCAGCATTTTTAGGGGCAATGATTCCTAAGGAAAAATCCCTTTGCAATGTGTGCCTGTTTCACACTCGAGCTTAAGTCAGACTTAGGCACGAGTCGGGTGTTGCGCTTGGTCTGTGAAGTACACGTACGCATATCATACACACACTGAGGTGGACGTGCGTTAAAGCGGTTGTGGAATGCTCGAAGACATTTCCGTCATTTTTCGGGTATATGTAGCCTAAGGTGTGATGAAATAAAAACGACTATTGTTTGTGTCATAAAATGAATACAAAAGGTACTTTTGAGAGCTGTTTTCAGGTCCTGTTTCGACCCGAACGTGCAATTTGTGTAAAAGTCGTCGTTGGGGGCAGCAAACAAAACATTGTAAATCGTTACGTAATAAACAGGACTCCCTATGCAGCGTAGTATAACCGAGTCCTGTTTATTACGTGACGATTTTTCTGATTTTACAAAGAACCCGACGACTGTTGATTTCAATTATGCGCTCGCCGACCAAGAAATTACTCGATGAATTTCAGTTTTATAGATTATAAACCCACATTACAAAAGAATGGGAGTTTGTCATTATGATATATATGGGTCTACTCTACAATAAAAAAATTGGCACTCGTTATACTTTGAGTACGATGTTGATGATGGACTTCAGGGCTTGGTGGTTGTGATGATTGCAGTGTGTGCTGTGAATAAAGCTGAGTTTACCAATAAAAAAAAATAACTTATAACGTGGACCAATTTTTCCGTTCTCAATGTCCCAATGGAAGGTTCATAGGCCTACTCATACTTATTGCCAACAAAATAATGACCAATGCAATTTCAAATTTGTTTTTCAGGATGCCACAACCAAAAAGCATGCACGGGACCCCCCTTTAATTATTCACATTCATTATGACACGATTTCAGACTCCGAAAACTTTATCCACATGGTGCAAATCCCTGCTATAACCCCAACAAATTAACGTTTAGAAGCATGGATCGCACCGTAAGGTCTAATGTAACAACTGAAAAAAATAAGAAACAATTGGGAAATTTGTCACGTCTTTCCACGCGTTAAAAGTTTTTGAGCTAGGATAGAGGTTTGGCTTTTTTTTCAGGTAAAACGTTCGATTTCTCGCGAGAAAACTTGTCAAATCTTCTGTGCTGGAATTATTTTCTTCCATTTTTTTTTTCAACATGAGCTGAGTGCTATGGGTTTTTATTTTATTTTGTTTTTTTTTAAGTAAACGCTGATTTTTTTTGCTGATGTTCTTCAGATATGGGTCGGTGGAGGCGTTTCTGGAAGCATCCGGCTTTACCAAGAAGAACCAAGAGAAACTCCGTCAGGTTTTATCTTAAGGGTACATGTACATGTACATAGGATCATTTGCTTTTGCGCATTTGTGTTTTCGTGTGAAGCAATAAATTTGCTCAAGGGGTATATAACAACAACCTGGCTCCCACTACTGGCTCCCACTGCTCCAGACTGATGGGTCTCCTATACCCTAGGTCCTAAGCTATACCTTAGACTGATGGGTCTCCTATACTCTAGGTCCTAAGCGATACCTTTGACTGATGGGTCTCCTATACCCTAGGTCCTAAGCTATACCTTAGACTGATGGGTCTCCTATACCCTAGGTCCTTCCTCTACTGAGACTGCAACCCTACTGTTCCACTTCGGTGGGCAGCAAGCTTGCTCTAGGATCCCAGCTACTTGGCATCCACACAGGATGCAACTTCACACTTCACCGATTTCGCGTTTGCTACTTAAGTGTTTACTTTCTTAGAGTTAAGGCACTCTCCTGAAGACGGTCAGAGCATACTGACCGGAACGTCGAGTTTATACCTCTGGTTTTTTCAGAACCATTTTCTTAGCTGAGAAATTATTCGCACATGGTGTTTCCGCAAACCTTTCATTAGTTAGTATCTCCACCATGCAACGCCTCAAAACTTACTTAACAACTAACCTGTTGAAATTCCAGCTCAGTGGATACAATACATTTTGAGTTACAGAGAAAACAAATGGAGTCTCGTAAGTGGAAGCCGTTGCTTAATCTCCAAACGGTACAACTTAAGGCGCAATAACTTCATTGGGTATTGGTACGGCAGATAGGTGATGGCAAGGGATTGTTCTTCATTTGATGATAAAAGCATGGAATTTGACACACGGTCAGAGTATGCCACGAGAAATAATATTTGGCTATAGGGTCATCGCAGATTTGTCCTTTGAAAAAAAATATATAGGTAGAATAACAAGCAATGCGGCATCCATTTTGAAAATTGCTTGGTATTCTACCTATATTTTATCAAAGGACAAATCTGCCTTCAAAGGTAGCCAAAATATCTTTCTTAGAGATATTGCCAAATGCCGTGTTTTTTTTCTCTCATCAAAGTGAGCAATCCCCCAAATATACATGTATTTATATCTGCCCCACTATGTGTGATATCTGTCCTATCTTCACTTGACTTGACTTGAAGTTTGTCAATACCATTTAGTAAAAGTCACGAAAGCGCAAGATTATTTATATCAATAGATAAAACATCCAATTTTTATGGCATTTCGAAGAAAAAAAGAGAACATTTCCTTATTTACAATCTAGACACAATGTTTAATTATACTGTATCCTTGTGTATGAATACAAATATTCGTTAGGAATGTTGACTGAATGAACACCATAATGCTGATTATCTAATAGGAATACATTGTATGCATCAATAGTAAAATAATGGGGAAAAAAACCCAATAATGAATTACAGGAATGGCCGTCATAAAAAATTTTTTAATTTGTATTCAAAGCAAATCTCAAATGTGAATTTGCTTTAGATATAACTGGTATTGCTAAATATCTCAATGTGTATGCTCTAAAATCAATCAACAATCTCAAACTTCTTTCTTTAGTGATTAATTAGCAGAATTCATATCAGTGTTTTTGACATTATTTAAAGTACAATAAATAATATGTAACATAATAAACCTTGAATACATATATGCAAGCTGTGTGGACAGAGTTTGAAAATATTAAATATGTAACAAAAGCTACCAAGTCAGGTGCAAATAGTGAAACACTGAACTCAGATGAATCCTTGGTTACAAAAAAAAAAAAAAAAAATGAAGGGAGGTCTGGCAGCTTACCTGTGTTTGAAGCAACAAACGTGCTCAAAATCTAAAGAAGGGTGCTGAACAACTAACCGGATGAACTTTTAGCTCAGCTTCAGCTGTATATTTTGAGAAAAACAGCATTCTAGGATCTCGATTTCAAATCAAAAGTTGCTGAATCTTGTTTGAATTGGGCCTGAATTCAGCTTCCGAGACGCGTTCTCACTGAGCCGATTGCAGCTTCGCGATGTCGCGCAAGCGTTGGAAATTGCCAAAGGTGCATCTTTAGACACACCGTTGGAAAGGCCTTCTTTCGTTGATTTCTTCAAAATGACAGCTTGGCAGAAAGAAAAATTTCACAGGGAGTTTAGTCCCCTTAGTATCTTTCAACCAAGTATGTTTTTCAACAATAATTACGTCAGTTACTTTTTGGATAGCTGCAAATGATGGAATGTAGCTTTAAAGGAAATATACAACATTTGCCAACATAAGAAATAACGATTCCAAATAATTATGAAATCCTGTCTTGACTGTGAATAATAGTCTCAAGCATTCTGTTAAATCCTGACACTTGGTGTGCAGTCATTTCAAAGAAAAGTGGAATTTTTGTATCAATTTTCAATGATGGTCGGCTGACCATCCTTGTAAAAACAATCATGACCATTGTCAAATACTGCCCCCAATTTACTTTACGAGTAGCTAGTCCACATTTTGTTTGGAATCAGTTACACATCCATGAACGGGTGTAAGCAAGCTAGTCTTGTTCCCTGACCTGACAATTCCCCATTTCAATACAGTCCAATCTCGTTAGTACAAACTCTGTTAATACAAAATTCTGGTTATAACAAACATAAAGCCTTAGTCCCGACTGTGCATTTATGTGCACAATGAATGGGACTGATGCTCCTCTTAATACAAAATTCTGATATAACAAACAATTTGGCTAGGTCCGAACAAGTTTGTATTAATGAGACTCGACTGTACATTGCTTTGTTTCATCTGAAGCAGAGTCACTGAACGAGACTACAAGAACATCTATGAACACAAAACTTTAAACAGGTCAGTGTCGCAATATCTGCCATAAATTAGAAACACCTCAATCCATCCATTTTTGAAAATTAAAACAAAAGCAAATAATGTATATTACCTTTAACCCTTACTCTCTGAGGGTAGTTTACTGCATGTCAGTTGGTTATGCCAATGCCCTCCAGCTGCAGTTTATTGGCAGATAGTTTGTCTTAACAGTGAAGGCTCCAATTGGCAGGAGTTGGAGGCCCTGGAGGGTGCCTGATACTGACCAGCTGGGGGCACTCACTTTGTTATCAGAGGACTCTCATTGTTCTCTGTGGCATGTATTGGAGTGCCTGTCCAGTTACCCTTGAAATGACATGGCAGATATTGGAGGGCCATGCAAAAAACATAGGAGATTTTCTTGAGGCACATATTGGCATGCGTTGGAGGGTCTAGTAGGGTAAGGGTTAATGTAGAAAAATACATTACCACTTCATGACAGGTGTTGAGCCCTTTTTTTTAACAGCCATTGTTATTGGCTACTTACTGATTCTTGATCCCCTTAGTTGGGTTGACTGTTGATAGTATCTCACTGTGGTGACACTGCGGTGACACTGTGCTCACTGTTTGACGTATTTCATGCAGGAATGCAGAATACCGATGCCGCCGAGTTCTCTCAATCTTTCAAGATGTCTGAGGGGAAAAAAAAAAAAATTAGGATATTAACTTTGAATTTACATGAAAAACAGATCATATGAAATTGTTTATTCAATTTGAAAATGTCCGTTTGATTTTTGCCTGTCTCACAAGGGCCAATCTATAGTCCTCTTTGTACTTGTCGGACTGACTGACTGACAGACTGACCAACTCATGACTGCCTAAGTGACTGGGGTGAGATTTGTAAAAAATTGTCCGATTTCAGGCTTTTTGTCGATCTTTTTTTCTGATTCCAAGATCTTTAAAAAAACTCTTTTGAAATCTGGAGTTCTTGAGGTTTCCGGTTAAGGTGTTTGAGACTGTGGTGCCCTTTTCAACTTTGACCTTATGCTAATGAGCGTGCTCGTTCAGCCATTCTTCTTGTTCTCGTGTCACTGCGTGGTGAAAGTCATTCGCAGTTAATCGGAACTTTCTCCGTGATTTTGCCAGCTCGGAACTAGCTGAAAGTATCAGCATTTGTACAGTTTGTATCCAATTTTTGTTCTACATTTTTTGGATCGTGCAGTCGACGATCCTTGAGAGAACTCACCTCGTTTGAGGGAGACACTTTCTCGCGAAATTGAGAGGCATTTTTTCCGGGCCAACTCGCCCCCACGGGCTCTGCGTGTGCTCGCCCCCATTGGACAGCTACTACACACGTATTACCTTACTCGCTTGGTCTTCGTCGTCGGTGTCCAAAAGACGAACTATAGGGGAGTTGTTGTGTTCATATTTATGTAGCAAATCACTACAAGACCTTTAAAAATTATAGAATAAAATAATAGTGATAATTTGGGAAGCTAATCATCCTGACTCGCAGCTGAGAAGCTGAATTGCGACGGGCACGGCTACATCGTGGTCAAGCCATAGGCATTTAAAGGCACCTTTGACAGCAAGCCATACGACCCACAAATGACTATGGAGCACAGCCAGAGATCAAAAGTGTTCGATTTTTTGGAGGGAGGAAAACCTGAGGGCCCGGAGAAAACCTCTCATGGCAGAGGAGAGAACCATCGCACAACTCTACTCACATGTGGTCCTAGCCGGAAACGAACAAGGGCCACAGCGGTGAGAGGTGAGCGCTTTACGAACTAGCCACCCATGCCACCCATATAGAACAAAAAAGGGGTATTTTTCAAGTGTTCGATTTTTTGGAGGGAGGAAAACCTGAGGGCCCGGAGAAAACCTCTCATGGCAGAGGAGAGAACCATCACACAACTCTACTCACATGTGGTTCTAGCCGGGAACGAACAAGGGCCAAAGCGGTGAGAGGTGAGCGCTTTACGAACTAGCCAGCCATGCCACCCATATAGCACACAAGAAAGGGGTATTTTTAAGGGCTGCTTCAAGGCAAATTAATGCAAACATACATAGACTCTACACAGCTCTGAGGCCTTTGGCAACCCTCGTACCCTCTGCCAACCATTATGTGGCTGTTTCCTTCACCCCAAATCTCACACCTGGATAGGGCCCTGCATCGGAACAGGGTACCCGAGTACCCGACATTTAATGTCATGAACCAGTTCCAGATTGTAGGATCGGGTACCCGTAACCAACTTTACAATTGACTTAGTTACTTTTAAGACAATAAAAAAGAAAGGTTTTGAAGTCATTTGTGGGGAATTTTCAAAATAATAACCAGGCCATATGGGAAAACAAAACATATTTCATATTAATGACACTTGCGAAAGCTGCAGTTTACACCGTAAAGCTATAAAGCTCACTGTACACACTCGTACCGGTGTCTGGCTGTATTGATGCACAGATATCATGCGGACCTTTGTAAACAATCTCAACAGCAACTTCCGAGATGTGAATTTTCGCATGTTTGGCATTGGGTTTCTTAAACGGGTACCCGGATACCTGTGTTTTTTTTTTTTTTCAATCGCTTACGCTGTTCCTGTACTACCCGTGAATTCACACCCCTATACCTGGAGTGACTTTTCCTAAACTAAACACAGGCTGATTTGTTTGGTGTTTCTTTTTCTCACATCCAAAAGGAAACATCTATTTTTCAGGGTAAAGCAACAAAATATGACAGGCAGTACATCTTAGGCCCCCCAAAAGTCTCTGGTTTCTGGTATGGAGCTTGCTGCCCCAAAAGTGGTGCGGCGACGCGGCTTTTTTTTTTACTTTTTTTTTCTTCTCATGTCGGCTGATGACTGCACTATAAATTTAGTGCAAAATATATGGGAGTCAAGAGAGGCCACATAAAGCTTATACTCGATTGTAACCCCATCTAAAAACACGTTAAAATTGTGCAGCAGCAGGATTCCAGTCAAACCAGTGAGTTTAGCAGTTTTGAGACATCATCTTACATTGAAAAAAATAAATAGGCGCGTGCCTACCAGAAACCGGAGACCTTTTTTTTTGGCCTTAAAGATATTCAGCTGATATTTTCACCTTTCGTCTGTCGTGGCAAGTTTGGCCAGAGCAATGGCGCAGTTCTCCTTCACCGCGTCACCCGTTGTGTCCGTATTTGACAACAATGTCTTGATGATGTCGGAACTAACAAGAGATGCACTGAGCCCTGGTACCTGGGTGCAATGCCCAATGATCAGCGCGGCGTTGGCAATGGAAATGCCGCTGTCTCCTGTCAACTGCTCACGGATGGTTTGCAGTTCTGATGATAAATAAAAAAAAAAAAGAGGAGTTGAAGACTTTTGTTCTGGATCTGTGCAAGAGCAGTTGAGGGCCCTGTGAGGCTATCTCAAGACTGCCAAGCAGGAGGGACAGAGTTTCACAGCGTCAAGCCACCAAATTAAACATCTTGTATAACTCTGGTGAGGATGATGAGCTCCTGAGAACCAGAGATTCTCAGATTCTGAGGTTCTGAAAAAGGGCCGATGTATTGACAAATTTCAGGATCTGAGAGATTCATAGTGGTTCTGAGAAGTACCAGACTTTCTGAGGTTCGGGGAAGAACTACATGTGCTGAGGTTCTAAGAAGAACCACATGTTCTCAGAAGAACAAGCTGCACTGAGGTTCAGAGACGTACTGAGGTTCACAGACGCACCAAATATTCTGAGGTTTTTAGGATTCTGAGAAGAACAAGAGGTTCAGAGTTGTGAAAAAAGGAGGTTCTGAGGTCTTAAAAGTAACAGAGATGAGAGGCTCCCACATTTTCAGGAACGGTTAATGTTCTGAGGTTCTTTTTCTTGGGAACGAGACAATACAAAGTTCTATCAACAATATAGAGAAAAAAGTTATAGTGTCTTTTCTAAAGATGAGTCAAAGAATTCCAACGCTAAAAATGCTTTTACAGTTTTGAAGTTTCAAGTCTTTACCTTGATCAGTTTTAACCAGCTCCTTCTTTGCTTTCTCGCTCCTCTGTGTCAGCACAGCCAGGCACTTCAGGGCATACTGACTGCACCTGTCTCCATCACTCTAGAAAAATGCACACAAAGATGGTTTGACATGTAGGAGCAAGTTCAAGTGTGGACTAAAGTTAAAGGGAATGTACATCATTGGCTTTTGCTGTAATTTTCAGAAATGAACTATTTGAGGGGTTAGTATAATAGATCAAATATTGTTACACTGATATGTTTGAAACTATGTGTTCGAAAATGCTGGAAAAACCAAGAAAAACAAAAAGGTTCAAGTAGTCTGGTTCCCTGACTCCACCTAAGATAAAATGGATCAATTTATTGATGCCAGAAAATTGCTCTGCACCCGTTAATGAACATGTAACAAATAGCAAACAAAATTTGAACTGAAACAAAGGTAAATTTGGAGCAGTAAATGAAAAACAGTTTTTGGTCGACTGACCACCGCTGGAAATGTATACAAAAATACAATTTTCTTGAAAATGACTTCACACCAGGTGCCATAATTTTACAGGATGCTTTAGACTGTCATTTACCAACATCCCAGTAAGGTATTTTGTAAAAACTTGGTAGTTTTATTTTTCGATGTTTGCAAATGTTGTATATTCCCTTTAACAGTAATTTGACTAAATTCTCTTGAAGGATTGTTGAACAACTCAAGTTAACTATTTGGAAACGGGGCTCAGTTCCATCGCTGGTTACCAATAGCCACGCGTACATCATAATACATAGCTGGGGGCCAGAACCAGACAGCTTAAAGCTATGTCACACATCGACTACTAGTCATCAACAAATGGTCCGGTCCTCACCCCGAACTTGCTCCTTGTTTATAGCCAAATATTTGATTGCTGATAATTATTGGCCAGAGTGAAAACTGGATTGTTAAAGTGTTGAACTGGTTTATTACAGTTGTACTGTTTGTAGTACATTACTAAGCATGACCTTCATATTAGTCCTTCAAAACGGTCGTAGCAGAATTAAGGAAGGTAGTCTACATGTACAACCCGCCACTATTACTTTTGAGGCTCGATGCAGTTTCAGTTCAAAGAATTTGCAACTAGTTCCCTGCACGGTTCCCAACAAAATGTCCCAGGGAACTTAGAACTGACTAGTTCCGTGGTGAACAATATTTACCTTCATCACATCGATGATTTGTGGTATGACATTTTGCTTGGTTACATCTATTACACTTTCACTGGTATTTGGCAACGTTCGGCTAAGCAGACCAATAGCTCTCTGAAAAAAAAACAGGGAGAATTAAAAAGAAAAACCACCAAAAAAAAAGAGATGCCACACCAGAAAGTATGGACTCAAAAGGGTGTTGACTACAAGATGATTATATAAGACTACAAGGTGAGTAATTATAAATATGACCTTTTAGCAAACTTGAATCATCTATCCTGATTGGTAAATCCATGGCAACAATAGTGAGGTATTGGGGAGTCAGGTTGGCGTAGCGGTACTTTCCTCGCCTTCCACCACTGTGACCCGGGTTCGAATCCCGCCTGGGCCAATATGTGGATTGGGTTTTCAGTCCCTACCTGATTTTGTGGGTTTTCCCCAGAATATTCTTCTGGGGTTTTCCTCCCACCTCTAAAACTGTAACTTCTTCTCATTGTCTTCTCTCCACAGGTTTCTTCAGGCTTGCGAGCTACAGTGCCAAGGGCGCTTTTGAGGAATCCTTGGTTTCATTACCAGAAATGATTAATAATAATAATAATAATAATAATAATAGCATTATCCCATAAAGCACGATCTGTATTGCACACTGCATATTACTCTTCACGCTTTTCCTTCTCCACGAACACTTTAATAGGATAACTACCTACGCGTTCCAGCTTTACTGTGTATCACGTTTGTTTGATGATAAATTTGTCATTCTACTTGTGCTCCGGTATCCATATATTTATGGGACAAATATGCACTGCATTCGTCTGTTGTTCCACTTGTATTTGTGGGACGGGGCCATATCATAAGTCCAACGCCTCATGGGTCCGACGCCTCATATGTCCGAACTTTCGGACTTATGATCGCGTCGGACCTATAAGGCATCGGACTCAAAAGGGTGTTGACTCCAAGATGAGTAAGACTACAAGATGAGTAATTATAAATATGATCTTTTAGCAAACTTGAATCATCCATCCTGATTGGTAGATCCATGGCAACAATAGTGTGGTATTATCCCATAAAGCATGATAATAATAATAATAATAACAGGTTCTTATATGGCGCTTTTAACTAAGATCAAAGCGCTTTACATTATTATTACCCCTAATCATTGGGCCAATTAAACATTCCATATACCATCTCAGCTCCCTGGGGAGTATACAGCTCGATGCTGCCTGTTAGGCGCAAGGAAGCTAATTCAAGCACAATAACCATCACTGCCCTCATAGGTACCCATTTACTCCTGGGTGGAGAGAAGCAATGAGTGACAAAGTGCCTTGCTCAAGGACACACGCACCATGACCCCGCCAGGACTCCAACCCACGACCTGCAGCTTTACCCACAGACCATGAATCAGTGCCCTTAACCACGAGGCCACAGCACTCCACTCCGTACTGCACACTGCATGAATCACTGATAACTGCCTACTGTTCCAGCTTTACTGTGCATCAAGTTTGTTTGACGATAAATTTGTCATCCTACTTTGTTCCATATATGCCACTCGGCCTTCGGCCTTGTGGCTTATCCGGGACACAGATGCACTGCATTCATCTGTGTTCCACTTGCATTCGTGGGACAACCGATAATGCCTCATTACATTTCAATATGCAAAACCATGTCATACTGTCTTATTACCTGTCTCATGTCCGTATTTTCGCTCTTGAGAAGTTGCATCATCATTCCAAAGAGTGACTTCAGCTCCTTGTGCATTCCTTCAGACGGACAGCTCTCGGCAAAAATATTCATCAACAGTCCAGTCAGATCGACAAGAATCATCTCATTCAAGGGTCCAGATTGGTTTTTGATTAATCTCTCCTTAAAAATAAATAAATTAGTAAACCTCAAGTTATTCCCACATGTCTACATGCACGAGCGATACAACAGAATGTTCAATATATTGGAAGATATTGCTTTTTGACCATTTAGCCACTTAGTCTTCCAAAAATGGCCATCGATTGAACGCGTACATGCAGCATGCGCTGCATCTAGATTTGACGCGTTTTTTTTTTTTTGTTCGCATCAAAACATTGTCACTTTCCGTCTCACAATTTGAACTGCAGCATTCAACAAGTAACACACGACGTTCGAAACACTGTGAACCGTGGTGGAAAAAATGTGAACTAGGAGAACTACGATATTACAAATTCACAGCGTGTGAGAACAGATCTAAGATGGCAATTTTTCCTCTATAGAACACCGACGCGTGTACCACTCACCATTGTGCAGACAACAGCTGCAATCACATTCTTTGTTCTCATCTTGTTTCTAACGTACTTCTCTTTGGTCAGGGCGAATATGGTGCGTACGCTCTGAAGTAAAGCAGCCTGGTGTATCTTGGCATTCTTTAACTGTGAATTGTTTGGGGAAGAAAATAGTTCTCCTTTTTTTTAATTTGTTACTTTTAATAATTGTGAAGAAAACTACAAAATGTGTGGAGAAGAAAACTACAAAATGTGCCAGCAGCAATCACATCTAGCAGAGTGGCAGTCCAGTTACCAAGTCATCACAAGTCATCAAAAGTCATCACAAGTCCATCACAAGTCTGTCAAAAGTCACCAGAAGTCATCACAGCTAGGACATCACGAGTCATCACAAGTTATCACAAGGTCATCACAAGTCATCATAAGTCATCACAAGTCATCAAATGTCATCACAAGTCATCATAAGTCATCACAAGTCATCAAATGTCATCACAAGTTATGGCAGTTAAGCCATCATTAAGCCATCACATGGCTACATTTTCATTGTTTGTTTCTCTTTCTATTTATTTATTTGCTTTTGTTTAATAATCCAATAGAATATATTAGCAATGCTCATACCAGGAGTTTTTCAAAGGCAGAATTCAACTCTTCGAAGTCCCCAACTGTGGCCGAGAACCTTGGAACAAACCTGGGATGTTTACAAGAAAATTAAACAAGTTTAGGTTAGGGCTGTCCACTTTCGAATAATTTAGTATTTGATTACTCGAAAACGTGTTTGACCGAATATTCGGATATTCGAAACTGCCAGCTGCAAGTGCATGCTGGGCTAGTCAAAAGCTGCATGCAGAGTGCACCAATAAGCCTTTTCGGAGTTCCAACTGCGCATTCATAACCTGTGACAACGCGCATTGTTTGTCTCAAATGGCCTTTGACATCATCGTGCCACTGACTTTACAAAAAGGCTGTTTGTGCATTATTTGTGGGTACTGTCAAAGGGCATTTGAGTAAAACAATGTGCGTTGTCACAGGTTACGAATGCGCGCAGTTGGAACTCCGAAAAGGCTTATTAAAATGTGCGTGCGGTGATCGATATGGAGTCTTTTGCAGTAAGTATTTTATAAATGTCATGTAATGTTTAACCTGCTAAAAGGATAGAAACAATGAACCGCCATCGACTAAAAAGTTACCATCAACAAAAAAGGTGGCGCCTGACAAATAAAACACCGCAACTTTATGATAAAGTACAGAAGTACATGTATAAACATCACAGTCGTGTGTGTATGTGCGTAATTTATTGGTTTTTGAATATTCAAAGCGGCAAAAATCTATTCCAATATTCGATTGATGATCGAAATGTGTTTGAAATGAAAATGCTATTTATTGGAAAGAGCAGTCAAAAGTAGAATGTAAATGTCCACACAACCATCCTTTAAAAATTTGACGTTTTGTACTGTGTTATTCTTGCGAAAAACCAATTTCAGGGGTCAACATTTTGACTCAGAAAAATTGAGCTGTACGGGTGCCACTCGTGATTCCAGTCGCACATGTTGCACCAGTGCATCACATGCTGCGAACGTGCCGGAAACATCATTTAGTGCATTGGTATTGTGTGTATTGGTTGGCCTACATTACTGTGTACACACACACACACGAGACATACGCACGTGCTACAAAATGTCCACCGCCAGAAGTAAACAACCAAGTTTTTTATCTTTTTTTTCAGGAACACTGCGACAATATGTAAGTTTCCTTTTAACCAGACCTTTGAAATAGGATAAGTAAACAATTTCCAACATAAAAGTCAGCGATTTCAGGACGATGTGCCCTTTAACCATTTAGTCATTGTAGCGCCCCAAACTGCCCTGCCCTATTACACACTGTAGCGCCCCAAACCGACTGAGCACTTACTGGTTTGATTGATTCTTCAGTGAATAAACACAATGTAATTTAATATAGTACAGGTGATAATGCGTTAAGGTCACACAAGGATTCTTTACCCACAAATCACTGATCTCTATATAAAGACTGGATAGCAAATAGAGAGCCGCACAATGAATGAATTTGACGCCATATTGGTGAGACCGGTGAGACCGGCTGGTGATCTACACAGGACAAGTCGCCGTCTTCATAGACAGCATGATTTCTTTTGTAACATCGCGGTTCACTTGACTTATATTTTGACCACCACCACTGACCAAGGTTACTAATTTTCTACAGACGTGGTTTACTTTTTCGGCGTTTTGGAAATAATAATCACTAAGGAAATGTGTCCCTTTTAGAACATCATAATATGTGTACGTGACTAAAGTGCGCGTCAACTATTGATACAACGCGCGCGTATTTACTCGCTGAACGTTCGTTTTATACGCAGCCATCTTCGTGAGACTGGGGGCGAATTGGTCAATATGCAAAGTCTACTGTGTGAATGCTGTATGGATATCCGCTATCCAGTCTTTATATAGAGATCAGTGCCACAAATGCATCAGGGTAATTCCAGCGTTATGTACATGTACTGTTCGTTATGGGGCTTTTAAGAATTTAGTGAATAAACCTGAACATTTTCTTTGTTTAATCTTACACATCCATCATGTAGTAGTAATGATCAAAGAGATTACAGACTATGACGTTTGGATAATATATCTGAACAAGCAACCCTCCTGCTGTCTGAATAGTCACAGACAGTCAAAAAAAATCAATCTTCTTCCCTGCCATGCCTTTTAGGCCAAAAAAAAAAGTCTCCGGTTTCTGGTATGGAGCTTGCCCAAAAAGTGGTGCGGCGACGCGGCTTTTTTTTTTTTTTTTTACCTGATTTTTTGGCTTCAAATGTCGGCTGATGACTGCAAATGGTCCTCGACTAAACTTAGTGCAAATATATGGGAGTCCAGAGAGGCCACATAAAGCTTATTCTCGACCATAGCCCCAATCTAAAAACACGTTAAAATTGTGCAGCAGCAGGATTCCAGTCAAATCAGTGAGTTTGGCGGTTTTGAGACATCATCTTTCAATGAAAAAAAAACTTTTTCATTTTGCCAATGCGCATGGCTACGGCAACGCGCGCGCATACCAGAAACCGGAGACTTTTTTTTGTGGCCTTACACAGGCTTAAGTCACAATCAGTGAGATCATATATTTCAAGCAAGCACTGTGACTAGTCAAATTCGGTCGACAGACAAAAGCGAGCAAGTGGAAGGCACATGCTGGCTTTTCAATCACCTACAATCAAAGGCATAGCTGTATCAAGTAACATAAAACAGTCACAGCCAGTCAATCCTGCTTCATGTAGGCTGGGAGCTCTTAACTGTTAAAAACAGTCACTTGATTGATTTTGACTGGAGGGACAACTTTGAACAAGAATATATGTTTGCATAGGTGTGTATCGTGGTTAATTGGCTCTGTCAAGGACATTACACTTTCTTTCCCAATGCTGGAATTGCCGACAAGTGAACAGAAATAATCAATTATCAAAGTTGTACTCATTTACCTTTCATTTTGTATTTGTCCAAGCAGATCAGCAGCAATAGCACCGATGGAGTCTGCCCTAGGATCACGTAGGAATGTCAGCAAGGCTGTCAATAACCTGAACATGACCAGAAGGGAATATACCACACTCTTTTAAATAATGAGCTGTGAAGCTTTAACCCTAACCGCCCTGAATCCTCCAAAATCCTTTTTTGCAAATTGGAGGACTTTGCAGGATTGAGGTTACATGGCAAAAGTGGGTTGCTGATTTCGGAGTACGCACGGTGTCAAGGTCTTGGGCCGGACCTTGTGTTGTTTATGCTCAGCCGTGCATAAATTTAGTCCTTGATTATACTTGACATCCTCCGCACTGCTCCAGGATGTCACTGCCTCTGCCTCAGCCTATTGACAGTCATAGCCGGAGGATTTTGCAGGATTTAGGCAGTGGTCACCCCTCCATGGACCATATTCAAGAAATAGCGGAGGAATTTGCAGGGTTGAGGCTATATGCTATTTTTCCATGAGGTTTTGGAGGATTGAGGCTACATCCTTGCAAAAAGGCCTAGGGAGTTAGGGTTAATTGGCCACCTTTTAGACAAATACAGGTACGTGTGCTACATACACTCACGGGGCCCCCTTCAATGGAGAGACCGTTGTGAATGCCGCTGTACAAAGTAACTGCCTCATGATTGATTATCTGTACAACAGCTAGCACAACGCTTTCACCACTGAAGGGGGCTTCCATGATAGCAGTGATAGTGTGCTTGGATTTCTATAGACCCACTGCATGACCAAAGATGGTATTATGCGACTCTTTGAGTGATCCCCGTTTGCTGGTTTCCCAGGTTTGCAGCATTACTAGCATCTTGACTTTGGGCGTGATCCCTGCATACGGGTTTATGGCTTCTGACTTGTGCCCCTTTAAAGGGAATATACATCATTTGCTTTTGAGGTAATTTTCAGAAACGGATGAATTTGGGGGGTTGGAAATATATAGAAAATATTGTTACACTGACTTTTTTGACATTTTGGGTTCGTAGATGCTATAAAAACCAAGAAAAACAATCATTTTTCTGTGTCTGGTTCCCTGACTCCATTTTAAATGAAACGGAGCAATTTATAGACGTTGGGGAATTGTAAGCATGGTAAGGTCAGGGAACCAGTCTAGCTGGCTTGTATCCGTTCAGAGGTGTGTAATCGATCGCAAACAACAAACTAAAATGGTTAATTGGGGCCAGCATTTGAAATAAGCGAGTTTTTTCCAATGCTGGTCGGCCGACCATTGTTGGAAATTGAAACGAAAATACCACTTTTCTTGAAAATGACTGTGTTTTAGGTGCCATGAGTTTACAGGATGCTTTAGACTGTTATTCACTAACCGTCCAGCAAGGTATTTCAAAATAATTTGGTAGTTTTATTTTTTGATGTTTGCAAATGTTGTATTTTCCCTTTAACAAAGATATTGACAAAATGGGGAACTGCCAACATAGGGCTGGATAGCTCCTTTGTCCGAGCACCCGAACGACATTCCGGAGGTAGCAGGTTCAAACCCCACTCCTGTCATTTTCTTATATATACGTGCGAGCTAGCGCAGAGTTTTTCATCTGAACGTACACGACCCCTTTGCCTCTTTGCACAGGCTCATCAGTACAGCAAAGCCACTTTCGCAAAATTTCATTTGACAACTGTTGACTGCTGTGATGTGAGATATGACGTTTTCCGAGGGGTTCGCTGAGGGTGCTATGGCCCCTTGGGTGTTCAAAACGCAATATCTCACATCACAGCAGTCAACAATTCTTTCGTTATACCTCTGTTCTTTAGATGTGAAATTCACGAAAAACAAACAGCAGTAAAAACAGTCATGACAATCGAATGTCAACTCACATGCATGCCACGTGCTGAATACAGCTGGTCGTCTGCTAGTTCACTGCTCCCACTCATGTGTGAAAACATGGTCAAAATACTAGCGTGGGTACCAACGATAGAAGCGTTTCACACTGTACGCACTGTACGTACAAAGTCATAGCACACTCCCTGTGGGATATCACATACACAAATTGTGTACGTGATTTCCCACAGGAAGTGTGCCATGACATTTTATAAACTTAAAGGGAAAATACAACATTTGCAAACATCAAAAAATAAGTTTGGAAATCATTTGGAAATACCTTGCTGGACTGTTAGTGAATGACAGTGTAAAGCATCCTGTAAAATCATGGCACCTGGTATACTGTCATTTTCAAGAAAAGTGGTATTTTTGTATCAATTTCCAACGCTGGTCAGCCGACCAGCGTTGGAAAAAACTGGCTTTTTTTCAAATACTGGCCCCAATTGACCATTGCACTTGTTTGAAATCGATTACACACCTATGAACGGGTACGAGCCAGCTCGACTGGTTCCCTGACCTTAAATTCCCTAATGTATGTAAACTGCTCTGTTTCTTCTTATATGGAGTCAGGGAACCAGACTACAGGAAAACGATTGTTTTTCTTGGTTTTTATAGCATTTTCGAACCCAAAACCTCAAAAAAGTCAGTGTAACTATATTTGCTATATATTTCGAACCCCCAATTCCATCCATTTCTAAAAATTACAGCAAAAGCAAATGATGTATATTCCCTTTAAGAAAACAAGAACACTAGGGCTGTCCCGAATACTTGAATATTCGATCATGAACCGGATATCCAAATAGCTGTTTGCCGGTTTGAATATTCAAAAACGAAAAAAACTATATTCACAAACACACACAAATGTGATGTTATTTTTTCGTAGAGTTGCAGCGCTTTATTGTCAGGTGCCCCTTTTGTTGTTGACGGCAACTTTTTCGTCAACAGCGGTTTATCGTTCGCATCCTGTTAGTTTAACCCCTTGTGGCCGGGTTTTTATGCCTCACTGCACATGCTTATATGCATCACTGCACAGTAGCCTCTGCGCAGTAGCGGCAGTAACGGCACTGCACAGTAGCAGCTGCCCACAGACGGCATACATAGGCATAACGAGGCATACCGGTCCGCGGCTATACCTGTCAGCCACTATGGAGGGGTTTCAGCCTTTACAGTTATAAAATACTTAATACTGCAAACAATCATGTGCCCAATATCGATTGCCGCACACAAATGTTGACTAGGACAATCTTCGTGCAACTTTGCACCAGTGCAGCACACAGTAGCAGCTGGCAGTTCCGAATATCCAAATATTCTGTCAAACTCAGTTTCGAGTGAACGAATGATAAATTATTCGAAAATGGACAGCCTGATAAACACCACTCACCTGAACACATCAAGGTTTTGAAGTACAGTGCAGCATCCCCTCTCGTTCTTGGACAACGTGTAGACGAGACGAACACATCGAGACTGGAGCTGGCTGGAAGCATTGCACAGAAGATCGACCACCTGGGCGGGGACCATACTGAGATGTGTCAGATGGACAATATTTTCCTCTGTAAACAAGAAAAAAAAATCAAATCCTTCCCTTTTTTACTTCAAATGTCATTTTCCTCTTAACCCCATGCACACGGGAAGCGGTCATGGCCGCGGCCGCGGCCGCTAATCCTCATTGGAATGCAGTTGCCAGCTGTGGTATGCCGTGGCACACGGCTAGTGGGTAGTTCCACAGCTGCTGCTTTTGTGCAGTCCCGCTACCACACAAAGGCTGTGCAGTCATGCGGGCCACTTGCTCTATGTGTGGAGGAATGTCCCCATTATAACCCGTCCTTAAGGGGTTAAGCATAGACTTCACCTCTGGCTCAAGAATCATTTTGTCGAAACAAAACAAAAACATTACTATTGGTCTCATTAGGTAACATTTGCTATTCCTAAAGAACACAAAAAATACCTTGCTTACCCCTTTGACAACTTCGCTCACTTGAGAGGCCAAAAAAAAAAGTCTCCGGTTTCTGGTATGCGCGCGCGTCGCCGTAGCCATGCGCGTAGGCAAAATGAAAAAGTTTTTTTTCCAATGAAAGATGATGTCTCAAAACCGCCAAACTCACTGGTTTGACTGGAATCCTGCTGCTGCACAATTTTAACGTGTTTTTAGAAAAAAAAAAAAAAGCCGCGTCGCCGCACCACTTTTTGGGCAAGCTCCATACCAGAAACCGGAGACTTTTGTTCCTTGGCCTTGGCGCAGAACTTTCTGAAACAATTAGTAGGATTCATTGGTGGCAGTAACCATGAAATTGGGCATTATGGAAATAGTCATGATGCCGACACCATCAGCACAGACCCACGATTACGACAAATTTATGATTACGACCAAATTCCATGACTCGGAGTCTACAATTCACCGCTATGATACAGCAGTACTTAGTGACTTCTTTTCAACACTGGGGTACAGCTGGGGACACCAACTTGAACAATTTCAAAAGCTTGGGGGAGGGGGGAGGAGTGGGGGGGGGGGGGGGTTGGCAACCACCGGACTAAAGGGTTTGTTCTATGCATCGGTATGCATTTGAAAAACAAAATCAAAAATGGGGGAAGGAGAGGGCTGGCAGGGGAGGAGGAGAGGATCATTTCCATTGGCGTTCCCTGTCTCCCAAAACTATCCGCTCCGTTCACAAGTACCCCCTCACCGGCAAGCAAAGTGCAGTTGGGGGCGACCGACCGACGCCATCTCGCCCGACTGCAATTTTATTTGACGCGACGTGCGGCCGTACCACTGCGTGTGCACAGTATAAATCCCCTGGTGTACGTGCGTCACATGGGACGTCGTTGCTAGGTAAAAGGGCGCCCTCATTTGTTGGCGCACAGAGCTCATTGGAGGAGTCTTTTCTAACAATACCCAAAAACATCACTGCCGATGCTTTGTGTATGACTGTGGACACTGCAGAAATACAGAAACGGCTCGGCCGGGGTCGCGTTCGAATTACAAAAAAAAAATGTACTTGGCTGCGGCTGGAGATAACACACGGGTCTATGGGAAGTGGCTGCAGCTGTTCCCATTTCCTGTGAGTGTAATAATCGGCAATAGCCAGGTAGTTTGGACACAGTCTAACCACTGATCTCTCTATAAAGACTGGATAGCGGATAAAGAGCCGCACAATGAATGAATTTGACGCCATATTGGTGAGACCGGTGAGACCGGCTGGTGATCTACAAAGGACAAGCTGCCGTCTTTTTATAGCCAGCATGATTACTTTTGTGACATCGCGGTTCACTTGACTTATATTTTGACCACCACCACTGACCAAGGTTTACAATTTTTCTAACGTCGTGGTTTACTTTTTTAACGCCGCAGTTCAGTTTTTCGGCGTTTTGGAAATAATAATCACTACGGAAATGTGTCCTTTTTAGAACATTATTATAGGTGTACGTGACCAAAATGCGCGTCAACTGTTGATACAACGGGCGCTGAATATACACGTAGAACGCTCGTATTATACGCGGCCGTCTTCGTGAGACCGGGGGGTGAATTGGTCAATATGCAAAGTCTACTCTGTGAAAGGTGTAAGGATATCCGCTATCCAGTCTTTTTATAGAGATCAGTGAGTCTAACTCTACCATTGTCCATAACAGCGGAGGTGAAAAGGTCAAGGGTCGTACACATGAGGTCGTGAGCTCCAGACTTCAGATCCTCGCCGGCTGCTGCATCGTCAAGACTTCTGCAAAATCGGACATTGCCACATGACAGTCACATGACATTCGCTGATATGTTAATACTGGCATTAACATAAGAAATGCAATCAACACAATGCATTTTTTTCTGTTGGGAATTGATCGAATGGTTCAATTACAACGGCACATTTTTTAAATCATTAACTCCACTTTAAAGTTGCATTCCCCATACTATTTTTGAGTCTCATTCCCAGAAATTGATTTCTTTTCTAAATTGCTAGTTCACTAGTAATACAGGAGTTATTCACTTTTGAACGAGACATTGACCCAAAAAAATGTATTGTTAAAAGTTATTGACAATTTCGAATTACTGACTGACAGATATACATGTAGAAAAATTTTTTTTTGAAGAGCACGGGCAACGCAACTTTGAAAATGACCTTAAAGGTACAGTCCATCATTTGTAATTTGTGCATTTTGTTCATTTGAAGCAACAAAAGTGCTCAAAATCTAAAGAAGGGTGCTGAACAACTAACCTCATGAAGTTTCAGCTCAGTTTCAGGTGTATATTTCGAGAAAAACAGCATTCTAGGATCTCAATTTCAAATCAAAAGTTGCTGAATCATGTTTTGAATTGGGCCTGAATTCAGCGTCCGAGACAGTTCTCACTGAGCCGATTGCAGCTACGCGATGTCACGCACTGATCCGACGAATTATAGCAACCGCGCGTGCGTGTGCATCGTGTCAACGCTTGCGCGTCCTTTGCCGAATAAAAACACGAACTACTCACGGAAATTTACAATGATGCGTCTTTAGACAGACGCATCATTGGAAAGGCCTCCTTTTGTTGATTTCTTCAAAATGACAGCTTGCCAGAAAGAATAATTTCACAGGGAGTTTAGTCCCCTTACTATCTTTCAACCAAGTATGTTTTTCTACAATAATTACGTCAGTTACTTTTTGGATAGATGCAAACGGTGGACTGTAGCTTTAAAGGGTTTCACAGAGTAAACCTGACAACTGTTTACATGTAGTTTCATCATTGATACTGAAAACAAGTTTGCTTACTTTTGGATGATCGGGTGGTCTGTCAGTAGGTCAAATCCACCAAATGTTCTGAACTGTGCGCGGGATGAGTCTGTGAGAAGATAACAGAGAATTGAATCATAGCAACTACTGCTGTGGTGTGGTCACCCACACAGGCCAACCATATTGGACGTCTACGGTTGCAGACTTGTAAATTAATTACTGTAGACCCCAGTGATATTTACGCCCACTACTGAAATACAGAACAAATACTCACAACTCTCAAAGGTGTCTGAGACGAATATCATCATCTTTCATTTTCTGTTCAATTTTTTGGGGGTTCACCGGTACCAATGACTTGTGGGAGAAAAATCGGACATTGACCGTGACAAAATACTACAGCATATGTACTTTACGCATAATGCAATGTACATGTACTGTGCGATTGATCTAGCCTTTCAAAATGGCGAATCTTGCACCATTCATGTGATGCCAAGTGGATGCTAAACCTCAACACAATCTGTGCCAAACACTCACAATCACCCCCTGCATCACACAGGAATAACAGCTGTGATCAAGAAGAGTAAACCCAACAATTCAATTCAATTCAATTCAATTGACTTTATTATCCCTGACGGGATAAATATTACACAAAATACACAATACATGTACATTTACTTCACTAAAAAGAAAGATATAAAAATAAGTTATTAACATTAAAAAAAATATAAAATATTGCCCAGAACCTTAAAAAGCCCGTTTAAAAAAGTTTTGCGTGGGTACAATTAAAATCCGGCGCACACAGAAATGCCACTTAATATTACAGACCAGGATGTGAGGATCTTTAAAGGAAATTCCATCATTTTTCTAGGACAAAAGAAGGGCTTTCATGACCAATTCCTACGCTGTTTAGGCATCTAATATGAGCCTATTCACTGGCTAGTCATCACACTGGAGGCAAGGGACGCCTCCCCCTTGATCAGTCATCCAGTGTGACACAAGACCACTGTGCACCACATAACCATCAAAATGCATTGAACATGCAACCAGTACAAGAGCATATTTATGTACACGCATATTGAGGAAGAATAGAGAACTGGCTGACTGTCATAGCCAAATATTACGCATCATCACCTACATGTATGGGTTGTGCATGACTCCATGACTTTTCAGTGACATTTTTGTCTTGGAATATCAATTTTTCATGACTACTTGAACAGTTGTAAAATAACAAAATTCCGAAACTCATCCATGACTTTCCAGGGTATTCGCTCCGTTCACAAGCACAAACCGGCAAAGGAAGGACAGTTTGAGGTGACCGACTGACGCCATCTTGCCTGACTGCAATATTGCCGCGACGCGCGGCCGTACCACTGCGTGTACATAGTTCAAATCCCCTGGCACACACAAGGAACAGTGCGCGTCAACCAGCTAAATGTCCCGCCCATGGGACGTCGTTGTTAGGTAAAAGGGCGCCCTCTTTTGTTAGCGCACGGTGTTCGAAATTGCCGGAAAAACCAAGAAAAACAAAAATATTCATGTAGTCTGGTTCCCTGACTCCACTAAAGATGAAATGGATCAATTTATAGATCCCGGAAAATGGTAGGGTAAGGGAACCAGTCTAGCTGGCCTTCACCCGTTCATGAACATGTAACCATTAATAGAAAACAAAATTTGGACTGAAAAAATGGTAAATTTGGAGCAGTTGTTGAAAAATAGTTAGGTTTTTCCAACGGTGGTCGGCCGACCACCGCTGGAAATTTATACAAAAATACCACTTTTCTTGAAATTATTTCACACCAGGAGCCATAATTTTACAGGCTGCTTTAGACTGTAATTTGCCAACATCCTAGTAAGGTATTTCGTAAACATTTGGTAGTTTTGTTTTTCGATGTTTGCAAATGTTGTATATTCCCTTTAAACCTACATTCAAGATTATTATTTGGGATCAGAAACCTACAAATTATTACATTGTACCTATTTTTCAAAATTATCGCAGAGTTTTTGCTTACCGTCATTGAGCGTGAGACTTAAAATACGCATTCCTCCGACATAGTAGGCTGTGGGCCGGTGCGGTTGTTTGAGTTTCATTACTATCTCATGAACGCCTGTTGCTTTGACGTCGCCCTCGTTGAACAGCCTCTCAGCCTCCATATCCGACTTGGCCGTGGACTCGGCAAGATTCACGGCTGCAATGTAGTCTAGTGCAGGAGTTAGATTGGCGGAAAAATGAAAAATGGACAAAATAAACAGCAAATATATGCATGGTGGATCTGCAAACATTTCAACTCCTTCAAAGAGAAAATAAAACATTTGCTTTTGCTGTAACTTCCAGAAACGGATGGATTTTTGGGGTCATCAGTATTTAATGACAAATATTGCTACACTGACTTGTTTTGAAGTTTTGTGTTCATAAATGCTGGAAAAACCAAGAAAAGCAAACGTGTTCCTTTAGTCTGGTTCCCGACCCCACTAAAGATGAAAGGAGCAATTTACAGCCATTGGGGAATTGTAAGGTCAGGGAACCAGTCTAGCTGGCTGGTACCCATTCATAGGTGTGTAATCAATTGCAAACAAAATACGAACTCACTAAACATCGTAAATTTGGGGCAGTATTTAGAAAAAAAATCCTGTTTTTTCCAACCCTGGTCGGCCGGCCAGCGTTGGAAATGGATACAAAAATACCACTTGTCTTGAAAATGTCAGCACACCAGATGGCATGATTTTACAGGATGCTTTAGACTGTCATTCACTAACACTCCAGTAAGGTACGTCATATATACTTCGTAGTTTTGTTTTTTGATGTTTGCAAATGTATATTCCCTTTAAATACACGCCCTGAATGTTTTACGACTTCAGATTCGTGTTCACATTCACAAGTTTGTGTCTTGGCCTAAAGACTGCCGACCCACCTGCGACCATTTTCTCGTGTTTCTCGTCAATCTTGAGGATTTCTTGGTAAGTCGTAGCGGCTGCCTGGTAATCCTTCAGTCCCTGCTGGGCCTTGCCCAGGTGCACCAACGCCTTCACATTGTTGGCTTCAAGCTGCAAGGCCGTCCGGCAGTCCTCCATTGCCTCTGTAAACTTTTCCAATTTGTTGTAAGCCTTGGGGGGGGGGGGGACAAAGTGAAAGGAGGGGATTCAAATTTGCATTATGGTGAACAATGAAGCGTTGATGATTTATCTCGCAGGACAACATGTGAGTCGCCTGGGAGTAATCATCTGCCCTAATTTGTTAGGGTGGCATGGGTGGCTTGTGCGTAAAGCGCTCGCCTCTCACCAAGGTGACTACGGTTCGAATCCTGGCCGCGGATCGCATGTGAGTAGAGTTGTGCGTTGGTTCTCTCCTGTGACACGTGGCTTTTTCTCCGGGCCCTCCGGTTTTCCTCCGGGCCCTCCGGTTTTCCTCCCTCCGGAAAAATCAAACACTTTCGATCTCAGGCTGTACTCCGTGGTCATATATGGGTCGATATGGCCGGCAGCCATAGGCGCCTTTACGTGCCAGCAGCCCGACCACGTTGTAGCCGCGTCCTTCGCAATTCAGCCTACCAGCTGCGAGTAAGGATGATTAGCCTCCCAATTTAGTATTATTATTATTATGCGCAGTACCACGAAAACATAAACGCAGCCAACTCCCAGCAGCGTTGTAAATGAAGCTAGCAAGGCTGTTTACATAAAAAGGTCAAGCTGTTACTGTATATATAATACACTTGAATATAAAGGGGAAAAATGTGATATCAATCTAATATGCTAAGAAATATGCTCGTTTCAACATGTGCTGTCGACATCAACATGTTGCAGGCCTCACTATACAAATCTTGAATCTTTATGAGTGCAATGGTAAGAATAATTTCATAAGGTGACACATGGAATGTTAATGGACATTCCATCTGCCACCGATTATTATTGCTTCATTGCATGATAGTGAAACATTCATTATTTGTTTTATAAATCCTCGTCATCTGATTGGCAAGTTGTAAACTGGTACTATGAATGTACAGCATCTGAGCATAACCAACCGAGTCACCGTGCAATGGAAGTTCTGTTTATCTTGGAGTGGGGCTTCTATTTTTGCTGTGTGGCTGCGGTGTGCGTTGCGACGAATAATTCAATGGCAAGTGATCAACATATATATAAGCTCTGTGCACAAGTACCCCCTCTACGGGAAGAGAGGGAGAGTTGGGGGAGACCACGAGGTGTACAAAGTGAGTAAAAAAAAACGAAACCCAAATGTTGGAACAATGTTTAAGGGAAGTTTTGCATGTAGCATTTTCAAAATTTAGGATATAAAAGCCCAATACATCAGCTTTCTTTTAGTACAAAAATCATTCAAATCACTCAGGTACCTTTTAAGTAAAAGAATTTTCAACACAACCACCGTTTTAAAGTTCCGTCCACGGATCACAACAAAGTTCAGTGTTCTTTCAAGCAAAACGAAAACAAATCACATGGGGATGTGTGTGAATTGTTTTCGTTTTGCTGAAAGAACGCACACCTTTTATGTGATCCGTGGACAGAACCTTAAAACGGTGGTTGTGTTTAAAATTCCAAAACTTGAAGAGTAAATGAGTGATCTGAATGATTCTTGTACTAAAAGAAAGCTTATGAATTGAGCTTTAATATCCTAGATTTTGAAAGTGCTACATTTAGAAATTTCAATAAAACAATAGTCCTGACCTTTGGGTTTTTTTTTTTTTACTCACCCTGTATGTTTTCAGACACTCAAGCGAAGACGCTATGGTATTGTGCACATTCATAATATAAAAGTGGTGTGTACTTCCCGAGTCCTGTCCATGGGGCTCCCGAAAGTGGTAACAAAGCGCCTTGTTCGTGCACGGAGCTAGACTTGACTAGACTTGTTTACCTGTGCCCTGTTGGTGTACAACACTACAAGGTCTTTCAGACGCTCCAGGCCCTGCGTGTAGAGCTCAACGGCTCGTGTGAAATCGCCTTTCTGGAATGCCTGGTTCCCCTGATCTTTCAGAACCGTCGCCACTGCTTTACGCTTCTTGCGTTTCTCTGCGCGCTCGTTGGCGTCTGCTTCCAGAGCTCTCATAAAATCATCTGAAAATAAAGTCGATCACGCTTTTCAAGTTACGTAAAAGGACAGAGTTTACTACAACAGTACACACAGGGGTTTGGCTTTTGAACAACGCATACTCTTTAAAGTTTGAACCTACAACCTCACGATCATGAATCCTGTGCTCCAACGCTAGACCACACGTGCCCACATGAAAGTTCAGGACAAAATTTGGCCTCTTGATAATGTTTACTTTCAGTTCAAAATGTCATTTTGATTATGCCTCAACCAGTACTACATGTACCAGAGAACACTATTTTGAAGGCAAATGCTGATTTCTTATGAAGCAGATGTTGAGAAGACATACTTCTCTGAGTCCATAAATTTATAACGCCCCTTAGAATGCTGGAGCTTGGATACCCTCCAGAGTTGCAACTTTTTGGTTAAATTCGTCAACATAAAATAAGGGGCACTAGGGCCAAAAAAAAATAGTCTCTGGTTTCTGGTATGCGCGCATCGCCGTAGCCATGCGCGTCGGCAAAATGTAAAAGTTTTTTTTCAATAAAAGATGAAAAGTCTCAAAACCGCCAAACTCACTGGTTTGACTGGAATCCTGCTGCTGCACAATTTTAACGTGTTTTTAGATGGGGTTATGATCGAGAATAAGCTTCCCTATATGGCCTCTCTGGACTCCCATATATTTGCACTAAGTTTAGTTGGGCACCATTTGCAGTCATCAGCATACATTGGAAGCAAAACAAAACAGGTAAAAAAAAAAAAAACAGCCGCGTCGCCGCACCACTTTTTGGGCAAGCTCCATACCAGAAACCGGAGACTTTATTTTTTTGGGCCTAAAGGTAACATATGGAGTTTGGAGTGTGTCATTGTTACGCCCCTGATCATTAGAGCCTCAACTCGGTCACATCTTAAGCTTGGACCCTCCCAACTAAAAGCATAGTTTCCATTTTGACGCATAAGACACGCAAAGTGAAACGCAAACAGGACCCAAACTGCAACGCAGACACATGGAAACATTTCCTCTGGAAGTGTCGCCGACAACTCAGACAGACGCAAACTACCTGGCAGATGATCGGCAAAGTTGTATCCGGTTCAACTTTGCCAATGATTCCGCGTACTGTCTGCGCAGTCTGCATAGTCTGCGTAATCTTAATGTCGATAATGAAAACCAGACGTAAGTTATTCCAGCTGGGACGCTGTTTCTACGTGATCCTGTGTTGTATGTTAGAGGGCGCGCATTTACGAACCATGAAGTATATACATATATAGTGCCAGATAGAGAAACTAACTTGTAATTTACTTATCATTCATTTGTGGCATGGATATGAGGAAAAGGCAAAAAGACGCATTTTTGACGATTTCTGCCGTGAAAACTATGCCGAGTCCAGTATAAGTGCAGTTGGGCTGGCCCAACTTTAAAGCTATAGTCCATCATTTGCAGCCATCCGAAAAAGTAACTGACGTATTATTGTTGAAAAACATACTTGGTTGAAAGATAGTAAGGGAACTAAACTCCCTGTGAAATTAATCTTTCTGGCAAGCTGTCATTTTGAAGTAATCAACGAAAGAAGGCCTTTCCAACGGTGCGTCTTAAGACGCACCGTAGGAAAATTTAAATTAGTAGTTCGTTTTGTTATTCAGCGCAGCGCGCGCAAGCATTGGCACGACGCACAGGCGCGCGCGGTTGCTATAATTCGTCGGATCAGTGCGCGACATCGCGTATAGCTGCAATTCAACACAATTCAAAACATAATTCAGCAACTTTTGATTTGAAATTGAGATCCTAGAATGCTGTTTTTCTCTGAATATACAGCTGAAGCTGAGCTGAAACTTCATCAGGTAAGTTGTTCAGTATCCTTCATTAGATTTTGAACACTTTTGTTGCTTCAAACGAACAAAATGCACAAATTACAAATGATGGACTATATCTTTAACACTTTTGTTGGGACGGTACCAGCTTAAGTTGGGATCAGTGGGCCACAACAGCTTCAATTCTTAGGTGCATAAGTACCTGGTCCTCGGCTTTGTGAAGGTGATCCATTTCTTTGAATAGTCTATAAAGATATTTAAAAGAATTTAACGTCAGCTGCAATAAAATATAAGTCAAATTACAAAATGGACAAAGTGTACATTTTCAAAAATTGGGTAAGTAAGGCCTAGGTAGGAATTTTTTTTACTTTTTTTGGACAATTTTTTTGTGCGTACAATCATGTGGAGGTGTCTGTGTGAGGTCAAGGGTAAAAGGCAGAAATTGATGATTTTGGGTGTTATTTTTCTCATCTTTCGCATAAAAAAATTAGGGTGGGGCTGTCAGAACAGGGTACGTAGGGAAACCAGAAGCAGAACCTTTTTTTTTTTGGTCCACGTCATGTAAATGAGGTACCTTTAAATGGGATCTACCCGATGCTCCCCAATACCGATGTTCCCCACTACCGATGTTCCCCCAAATCCTTAGGATTAGGGTTAGGGTTAGGGTTAGGGTTATATTGGTAGGGATTTCAGGGAACATGGGTATTGGGGAACATCGGTATTGGGGAACATAGGTATGCACCCCCTTTAAATAACCAAGGTTTACAATGCATGTTATGCATTCATCAAATGTGACCTGTTCATCAAAGTCAGACTTTTCTGGGCATACGGTAAAAAACGAGATTTTTGAATATTGTTAAAATATGTACATTTTTCTTTTAATAGGTGGTTTAATTTTTGAAACCGGTCATTCCTGGGCAAAGTTATGCTATTTTGAAGTTCATCGTGTTGAAAAGTAGAAAATGGAGAAAATGGCAGTTAAAGTTTGGGGTCTATTTTAAGACCTGTTTCAAGTGACATTTCTTTAACTGATGTACCTTAAAAAATCATCAAAATACTATTTTTAGTGTTCAAATTAGGGTTTCAAACTTTTATAGTATATTTTAGACATGTTCAAGATTACAAATATGCAAAAATTAGAAAATCAAAAAAAAATTCACCCCCACAGCGTTTTTTGGCCCTATCTCAATTTCAACCTCTGCCCAGAATGTCTGCTTTTGACAGAACAGGTCACAAATGTGATTCCACATATATTTTGTGTAAACTGTACATGTACACATTCAACCAACCCCCCCCCCCCCAAATGTAGCGAGGTATTTACCGTAGGTCCACTGTCGTCTCTGAGGGCTGCATGATTGATGACGGTCCGATCCACCGACTCCCTCTGCTGTTGCACGCTAGCCTGATCTCCTGCTGAAGAAACACTGCCCTCTACTGGTTTATCAGGAACAGCCTCGCCTGCAACAACAGATTCTGAGGGAAAGAAAGAACTGCTTTGACTAGTACTCTACATGGAACTTCTTCAATATAATATTTAATGTGCCAGTTGTAACTTTCTGTCAAAAATTCTTATGCAACCCAGACCAAGACTAGACAGAATTTCCTGGGTAGGATTAAACCTCCTACTGTCTAAAAAGTCGCAGACAGTCAAATAATATTTCAGATCATATTTCAAGCAAGCACTGTGACAAGTCAAATTCAGTCAACAGACAAATGCAGGCAAGAAGTAAGCACAGCTGGCTGATCAATCACCCACAGTCAAAGCATAGCTGTATCAATGTAAACAGTCACAGCCAGTCAATCCTTCTTTATGTACGCTAGGAGCTTCTAACTGTTGAAAACAGTCACTTGATTGATTTTGACTGGAAGGACAACTTCACAAAGAATGTTTGTTGGCATAGTATGCCGGTTAAGGACAAAAAAAATACACATTTTGCTTTTGTAAACATTTACATACCAATTCCACACACACACACAAAAATTGCAGCACTGTCTTGATCCCGAAACCTTGGACATGGTAGCTGAGATATATGTAGCTCCATGGTTTAACCAATATACCGAAGCATTCTGGTTGGACGGGCAGTTATAAATGTGATATAAGCTGAGATTGTCAATGGGGTTTTTGCAATGCCGTAATCGTAACCGTGAGGATCGCAGTTGAAAATTGCGTTACGGCCGTCGTCATATCCTACTAGCCTATATTTTCCAAAACATAGTGGCTATCATTACGACAGCCCTAACACAATTTTCAAATACTATCATTACAGCATTGTAATTTAATAAAATGCAAATTTGTATATGATTTACAACTGCCCGACCCACCAGAATGCTTTGATGCTCGATCGGATAAGGAGAAATAGAAAAAAAAAACATGTTTAGCGTCCCCGTCCATTTCCTTTTTGGAGGCTGTTTTTTTTTTTTTTTTTTCCCCAAACACGAAAAAATGATACATTTTAAAAAACGACATCATTGTGGCCTCTTTGTCCATTGCATCTGGCCCATTTTAAGCTGGTTTGTCATTCCTGAGTTCAAGTGGCGGCCATTTAAACAAAAAAAGCTGTCGGCCATCTTGAAATATAGCCCGGTCGGGCAGCCATTTTGGAAGAAAAAAAAAACAAAGGGGCTCCTCCTTCCTTTTCTTTTAAAAAGCAGAACGCTATTGAACATTTTTTTTTTTTTTACTTGGCCTTAAAGACAACCCTACATGCCCTAACACAATTTTCAAATACTATCGTTATGGAATTGTAATTACATAAAATGCAAATCAGATTTACAACTTAGCTGTCCGACCCACCAGAAGGTTTCGGTAGCTCGATTGGATAAATGTTAATTTTATTTTTTCCTTCAATAGTTCTCTTTCGGTTTGATGTTTTTAATCCAATCATTCTTTTTTATTTAAATCTAACGTTATCCCGTAGAGTTCATCTTTTTTTTACTTTGAAATCAGAGGCTTTTTGAAGGCTATTTTTAAGGAAAATAAAGTCTGAGGACTGGTTCTAGTTCAAGCAGCCAAAAATTCTGGCGTTGAATGCTATTTCGTTAACCCTAACCGCCCTGAATCCTCCAAAATCCTTTTTTGCAAATTGGAAGAATTTGCAGGATTGAGGTTACATGGCCAAAGTGCGTTGCTGATTTCGAAGTACGCACTGTGTCAAGGTCTTGGGCCGGACCTTGTGTTGTTTATGCTCAGCCGTGCATACATTTAGTCCTTGATTATACTTGATATCCTCCGTACTGCTCCAGGATGTCACTGCCTCTGCCTCAGCCTATTGACAGTCATAGCCGGAGGATTTTGCAGGATTCAGGCAGTGGTCACCCCTCCATGGACCATATTCAAGAAACAACGGAGGAATTTGCAGGATTGAGGCTATATGCTTTTTTTTTCCATGAGGCCAATTGGAGGATTTTGCAGGATTGAGGCTACACCCTAGCAAAAAGGCCTAGGGAGTTAGGGTTAAGGAACCAGACATTTCCATGATAACGGAAGCAGTTAACAATCGCGTTCATACTTCACGCGAAAGCGAAACGAAATTTGTGACGTCAACAATACATTCGAAGCGCGTCCACCATTGTTGACGACATGAATTTCGCTTCGCACAAGCTTTCGCGTGAAGTATGAACCAGGCTTTACAGCTGCCATAATGATAGCCACTCAGGTCACTGCCTAGACCCGTGAACGTGGCCACATAGCCACACTTCAGTCTATAGTAAAAACACTCTATTGTGATCCGCGGTTACTAAAATGGAGTGACCGTTCTAGCCAAATTTCGGCCACATTTGACAGAATATTTGCATACAAAAATGAGTTGTACAGAAAATCAGCAAAATGTTTTTTTTCGGCAGAATTATGAAGATGAAGGAAAATGAAAAAGATTGGAAAGAAATATGGCACATTTGGTTTGAAAAAACTTCATTTTTTTGAAAGATCCTTAAAACAAACCCTTGCACAATGGAACAGCAATATAAACTGGGTGATTTGGCAGACTTTCGAAGTGGATTTAGCAGAATTTTACATGGTATTACGGTCATCCTGCCATGTAAGACGGTTAGTCGGGTACCCACTGGTGATACTTCTTCCGTTTTACGCATGCGAAACTCGGGGTACCAGAGTGTCATGCCTGTCTTTGATTTTCTGATCATTTTGAAAACATTCGTTGTGACAAACACAAAGTTGTGCCGTACTTTACATCAAATTTCTTGGCAATGCCAGATCCAACACTTGCGGAAATTCACAGGAGGCCCAACAAGTAAGTGATTCACCTATGGGCAAAATTATACATGGTTATATGTAGCGGATCAAAAGATAGAATGCTGTTGCTTGTTTACCCGATGGAAGCGCGTGGCGTTGTATGTATACAACGCCACTTTCACGGGTCTAGTCACTGCCATGACTGCGTTTAAAAAATATTTTATGAGTGAGTGTTGATCGAGCTCGGAGTAGAACCCGTCAGATTTTTTTATGTAACACTAACAGACATGACAGAACTCTGTAAAAAATGGAGGTGTCCAACACTTCAGGATTACCGTAAGTCTAGCTCTACTGAGTGGAGCGTTGAATTACGGGTACCCTTGGTATGGAGGTGTACCCGTAATTCAACGCTCCACTCAGTAGAGCTACCGTAAGTCGTAACTTTGAAAATGCCTCGTTTTGGAAAAAAATAATGTTGCAGCCTGATGCCACTACTACACAGTCAGTGACAGTGGAGAGTAACGAAAATTTTCTGCACATGTTCTAAGATAAACAGATAAACATGATAAAAGAAGAAAACTAGAAATGTGTTTGTGGACAAACACTGAGCTGTTTCGAACGTTTTATTAATGACTGCCGTATTAGTTTTATCCAGGTCGAATGAACATGTACATGTATATTCTATACAAAAAGTGTCCATCCTATGTAAAGAAAAAAAAAACATTTTCATGACGTCATGATGACGGCACACATTTTTGAAATTTTCTGTATCTATCTACGATCTTACAAACCTTTTGCTAAAAAGAATTTCGATTTAACCACGTGCCATTGATGAGATATGAGTAAAAGGTCCAAAAATTGAAGAATTCATATAAAATCACATGATGACGTTATCGTGACGTCATTGCAATTTTTGTGTATAACGCTTCCTGGAATATCTGTATATCGAGATTGAACCCAATCGGACCACAGGTTCTCTGGATATAGTGACTTAAACTTTGCAGTTTTAGGATGACGTCATGTGACACGTGATGACGTCATAATGAAGTCATGATTCAGCATACATCTTCAGATGATTGTATAAGTGTGTGCCGGGTTTGAAGTCGATCGGACCGTATTTTATATAATTTTTGCAAAATTTGAAGAAAATATTAAAATTTGAAAAATTCATAAAAAATCAGATGATGACGTCATGCTGACGTCACTTCAGATTTTGAATGCTGTTATCTATACCTACCTACCCACCAAGTTTCATAACGATCGGACGTACCCTTATATGTGAAACAAAAAATCACGTTTTTGATGACGTCATGATGACGTCACACATTTTACGAAATTTTGTGCATCTATCTATGACCTAACAAACCTGTTACAAAAAGAATTTCGAATTTACCACATTCCGTTTATGAGATATGAGTAAAAGGTCCAAAAATGGAATTATTTAAATAAAATCACACGATGACGTCATCATGACGTCACCGTAATTTTCGTCTATAACACGTCCCGGAATACTTGCATACCAAGTTTGAACCAAGTCGGACTTCCGGTTCTGTAGATATAGGGCCTTAAAGTATGCTCTTTGAGGATGACGTCATGTGACACGTGATGACGTCAGCATGACGAAAAGTTTCGGCACACATCTTCAGATGGTGGTCTTAGTGTGTGCCAGGTTTGAAGTCGATCGGATTTGAAAAAGGTCCAAAAGTGCGGTGTAGAACGAAAACACGTGTTATCCTATGGAAAAAAAAGTGGAAGAAAAAAAAAAAAGAGAAACTAGAAATGTGTTTGTGGACAAACACTGAGCTGTTTCGACCGTTTTATTAATGACTGCCGTAAAAGGAGTTTCATCCAGGTCGAATGAACATGTACATGCGTATTCTATACAAAAAGTGTCTATCCTACGTCCCTGACTATGCATGAAAAAGTTAGCCGGAAATCGGCTAAAACGGTCACAGTGGACAGGATTTGACCTCAGCAACACGTGCGCTGCGCGCGGGCTGACTGACATCCGATATGTACAACGTACGTGCATGTACATGTACATTGTGGACTGTGCATGTTTTAAAGCAGAAGTATTGTCAACCTGAAGTTTGAAGCGTGCGCAGGGCATGTCCGAGTTTGCCTATTGCCTCGAAGCTTTGAAATATTTTAGACCTACCCTTAAATAGACAATTATAGTAAAAACTAATATGAAAACTGCCATGGTTGATTTTTCAGGAATTTTTTAAGGAAAAAGGGTCTTTTCATTATAACTTCCGGTCTGATGACGTCATACACCTTAAACTTCGCACACGTCTTAAATGGGTCAAGGTCATCATATACACCAATATTTAGGCGATTCCGACAAACTTCACCACAGACATCTATTCAAAATACATTTTTGAAAATTTTCAACCTGTCGCTAGAGGGCGCTCGAAGATTGCATGACGTCATTGGTAGATGATTTGAAGAATACTATCAGCCAAGAGACTAACACAGTTAAAAGCAAGTTCATATCTATTACCACTTTTAAATAATAAGCCACTTCCGGTTTTGGCCTTTTTCGACCGGAAGCAAGGGTCACGTGATTTTACGCACACTGAATGAAATAAAGACCTCAACCTACTCTACCACTTGCCGGCAACAGAATGCTGCGGACGCGTACGGTTGATTTCTTATGCATTTTTAAATATTAAAATTGTCACAATTTAATTGCCTATAAATAAACACCGGATGACGTCATCATGACGTCATCATTACACAATGTTGTTTGAATTAGAGTCTTTGCTTGGACAAAGATTGGTGTAAATGAATTATTGGCAAAGTGTCGAAAATGCCCTCTGAAAATTGACATTTTTTTTTAAATTTCTGTGTACAAAGTCTATGGGAAAAATTAAATATTCAAAATTCTATAATAAATCACGTGATGACGTCAGCATGACGAAAAATTTCGGGACACATCTTCAGATGGTGGTCTAAGTGTGTGCCAGGTTTGAAGTTGATCGGATTTGAAAAAAAGCCAAAAGTGACTTGTAGAACGAAAACACGTGTTATCCTATGAGAAAAAAGTCTGAAAAATAAAAGAGAAAAAAAAAAATAACAGAAACAAGAGCTGTTTCGGTGTGTACACCGAAACAGCTAAAAAAAGATGCTATTGTACTTAGCAACAAAATTGGAAGTATTTCTCAGTCCCAGATTCATGTCTCAAAGGTTAACCCTTCTCATCATTTTTGCAACGAAAACAGTGGCGTCTTGTTTTAAATTGACTGTAATGTCAGTTTACCTAACTCATCCACACGACGTAAAAATTCTTCCAGTTCGGGATCGTTCAAGCCGCCCGCCATATTGTTTGCTGTTGCTATTCTAGTATCGACTCTTTTAAATCGGTATTTTATAAAAAATCCTATCGACTTCAACCAGGTATCGAAAAAGTTAGACTCATCTCAAGTGCTGTTTCAATAACTCGATTTTGCTGTACACTTTGCATGATGATTATGAGGACAGGTGTATAGCGTGAATATCCGACTCCAAAAAAAAATACTCATTGGTAGTATCGCGCATGCGTAAGTACGAGAATATGCTATTTTTGTTTAGGATAACATACGGGGAGTGACCTGTCACTTGCGAGGGATTAACCAATAATAGGGAAAAGGGGTCGCGATTTTCATAGGAGTCGGATCGTGTTCCCGAATTTCTCAGACATCTTTTTGAGATATCATGGGATGTGTATAGGTAACGATAGAGAAGGTGAATCCATGGATAAAAGTCAGTATATAAGGAAATATAATTTTGTCATAGTTATAGTACATGGGATGATCTTCACCAATATGCTATACCTCCATGTTTTAACCACTAACGAAAACCTAACAATAGTGTGGTGACATTATTTGGGGGGGGGGGGGCTTATGGTTACGACATGATCAATACAGGGCGCTAAATATGATTACGAGTCGGTCCCGATGCCGGTCTAAAAATATACCGGTATCTGGGCAGACGGGCCGAGGTCACCGGGTCAGGCCCTAGGTGGCTGGGGACTAAGTTGTTACAATTGTATTGACTGGAGATGGCTAGGAGGGTTGGAGCAGGGAGTATGGTTGGACAACTGGAGGAAAATGGAATAAAAAGAATGGCTCCAAAATAAGTGTGAAACAGAAACAGCGGTTCACGACATTACGGGCACACTCTCGCAAAATGTGGTTCGGCAGCTTTCTATACAAAAACCTCGTTGGCTCGGGGTTTTGTGCGTAAACCTTATCAGTCAGCCGATCACGCTCAATAAGGCCAAAAAAAAAAAGTCTCCGGTTTCTGGTATGCGCGCGCGTTGCCGTAGCCATGCGCGTCGGCAAAATGAAAAAGTTTTTTTTTCAATACAAGATGATGTCTCAAAACCGCCAAACTCACTGGTTTGACTCGAATCCTGCTGCTGCACAATTTTAACGTGTTTTCAGATGGGGTTATGATCGAGAATAATTAAGCTTTATGTGGCCTCTCTGGACTCCCATATATTTGCACTACGTTTAGTCGGCCACCATTTGCAGTCATCAGCCGACATTTGAAGCCCCCCCCCCCCCAAAAAAAAAAAAAACAGGTAAAAAAAAAAAAAAAAGCCGCGTCGCCGCACCACTTTTGGGACAAGCTCCATACCAGAAACCGGAGACTTTTTTTTTGGCCTAAGCCATTTGCGAGTTAAATTTGAATAAAATCTAGGAAAACTGACTTAATCCAATGCTTTGCATGTTTTTACTTAGCATTCTCCCGACCAAAGAGGCTGTTACTATATCACGTGATTCGGGGCAAGCCTTATGCTAGCAACCCTCACCTCCGGCATGGTCTGGTGTCTTTGTGCCATTCTCACCCATTGTGAGCAATGTATTGATGCTGAGCGTCTCTTACGTAACTATGCAAGAGCTTGTACATGTGATTAGCAACAGTGTCTTTGGTCTGGAGACGTCAAAGTTAAAATGGCCCAAGCATTCTGAGCAAGTCAGTGTACCAGATGTTTTTCAAATTCAAATCCCAAAGGGTATAGGTACTCGCAAATGGCTTATTGACTTCGGCCAAACCGCAAGTCCCATCATAAGCTAACCATGTTAATCGGACCATTTTTTCCAAGGGTGTGTCTCTATAATGGTGTATGACGTTTTAGGCGAACCGGATTAATGGACCGATCCAGTAAACCCATAGAGTTATATTATAAAAACTAGAGCGCGCATTCACTATACTGCACGCACAATGCAGACGTGCCACCCTGTAGACCTCGCCGCCATTTTGTAAGTGGGCAAAAAATACTCGAATGTGCACACTTCAGGATTGACTGCAATGCGTATCTTGTTGTTTTACTGTTTGTTCCACTTATAAATCCCCCCCCCCCCCGACGATGCCTTGTTTTACCGTGCTAAGTTTTGCCTAACGTTATGTGTTGTGCGCATGTGCTTTGCCCACTTACAAAATGTCCTTGCCAGCACGGGGTCACTTGATGAGTACGCTCTCTAGTTTTTTTAATATAACTCTATGAGTAAACCTCGCCCACTGCGCACTGGGCAAATTAACACGTGCTCCTATGCAATGCCACGCTGCATTTTCCTGCCGCGCGCATCATACGCGCGTGACTTTTGTGCGAGCACGTCGACATATGAGTCACGGCTGTGATTGGTCAGAACACCATAGGGGCGGTGCTTACTGGATCGGTCAATCATACATTAGTCCACCCACACACCGTATACCTTTATTAGAAAAAAAACTCCGTTTATTTCGTTGCATTCCCGATGATCATTATCGTACACCACCATACATTTATCGTGAATTTCATGTCGCGAAAAAAAACCGATGTTGTAGAACTTCAATGTCTAGAAAAAAAATTGCGATCATGACAGTGACGTGAAATAAATTATTTAGTACGTCTTAGTTGTCCCTAGTTCGGGCCCAGGGGCGGCGAAACCGGGTTGGCACTCCCCCCCCCCCCCCCCCCCCCTTAGATTTTCCCAAGTGCCCCTCCTGCGGACATAAATGTGCCCCCCTTGAGCATAAAATGTGCCGGCCCCCTCGAGATATATAAAAACAAAACTGGCTCTAAAATCTCGGATAATTTGTTTTCCCAAAATGGTATAGCCTGAGAGTTCTGATATAAGCGGGGAATATGAAAACCCGAGCCCTAAAACCTCTACAATGGGCCTTGAAAATGGGCACATTATAAATTAAAGCATTGGAATGTTCAAGTCAGAATTTCTGTCTCTTAACATAGATGACATCATTAGGGGGCCCACTTTGTTGGGATATTGATACAATGATAGGTCGATACACAATTTGGTTGAGGGCTGTGTTTACTGTGACTGTTTATTCCACAACAATATTTTAATACACATTGATTGATTGAACTGGTTACAGTGAACTGAGACAAAGAGAACTGGGTGAACTGAAATAGACTAGAATAGAAATGGAATTGAAACAGAATGAGATACTGCTAGTGGAGCAGCACTTATATACTGGTGGAAACAGGAAGTCTTGAGAGTAAGAAATACTTAAGAATGGGGAAACTTAGTCATATCGTGGTTTCCTTGAGTCTCAGAAAAATGACTAGGAATGAGTAATATAGTTCCTTAAAACAATGATCTTGAAAGTAACTTGGTTTAGTGACCAAAGACTTGTGTGTGGGCAGTGAAGGTCATTTCCTCTGTATACAAGTATAGGGACTACACATTGCATATGTACTGTGTGAGTGTATGTGTATACAAGGAAAACAATGAGTAATGCATTCAAGAGAATTAATCATTAAAAAGTTCAAAAGGAACACTGATAATCAAAGTGTGATAATTAACTAACAATTAAGACGAATTGATAATTGAGAATTGATAATCTGAAAACGCTACAACTTCATGTAAATATCTGCTCGGTCACCATGGCGTCTGCATATTACATCCCTACTGATGAGATTATGCATGCAGTATATTCCACCAGATACAGAACCAGAATAAAATGGTCGGTTGCGAAGAGCGCTCCAATTTTTGAAAACTTGGTACCAGCCCACCCCCCCCCCCCCCCCCCCCATTTGATTTTACGGAGGCCAAGTGTCCGGTGAAAAAACAAACATGTCGACATCAAGTTCAGCACAGATGTGCCCCCCCCCCCCCCCAAAAAAAAAAAGCTGGATACGCTGCTACACCAACGGAAGATGCCTTTGATTGAGCAAGTGCCCCGTGATGCGACTGTAACCGGTCAGTCCAAAAATTCAACCCCCAAAAGTGGGTGCAGTACATTTTGTTTTCGTCCTTCACAGATTTATTTAAACAGGCAATTGTTTTCAACTCAAGTTGATCAGTATGAAACTGTGCCACCCCTCTAAGTAAGTCTCGTGACCAAAATGTAATCGCCCATCGGGAGTACGTCATTAGCATTCTATCCGATTCTCATTTCTAACCCAGGCTTGTGCTGAATGACATTATGCAAATAACGTGTTTTAGAAGATTTCCACTCAGACTCCAGCCCTATTGTTACATTCATGCCTCGCTGATCACCATGGTACAGCGACCTAGCGTGCAGGGGCTTTATCTTAAGCTGTTGTTTCGGTGCTGGGCTAGGCCTTCATTACTGTCGTTGTGCTCCTCACGCTCACTGCATGCAACTCATTACACTCTTCAAAATTATCGTTTTGGCTCGTATAAAATTGTTATTGATATTGAATTAACAAAGACATCGTTACCATTTACTCCAAGATCAACACAAGAGGGGCAATGTCTTCAAGAGTAGAAAGAGGTACGTTAATGTCTCTGATTAATGTACATGTGTATAAGGTTCTCCTACAAAATCCGAAGCAGTTTAGATATAAAGTTTGAGACTGCAAAACAGAAGCCACTGGCCGGCCAGGAATTGTTTTCTTGCTGAGCGGATAAATTACTTCATTTCAAGGCAGTAAAAGGCTTTATTTTTTTTAGGAAGCTCTGGTAAAAGTAGAGAGTTTTGTCACCTGAAACAGAGAACTCCTTAAATTTCATTGGATGTTAAAAAAAAAAGTTTACATGGAAGATAAATTACAGCAGAATTAAGGTTGAACGAACATGATTATTATATTCAATAATAATGCAATGCCAATAGGAATTTGTCACGTGCAGTGACATTGTGTTCACACGTGTGTTAATTTGCATATAGGAATTTATAAAATACGTGCAGTGACATTGCGTTCGCACGTTGAGTATAACAAGTTTGCATAGAAATTCGTCTGGGAAATGGGCAGTGACATTGTGTTCGCACGTGGGGAGAAAATACAATTTCGAAAGAATTCGTCAGACACGTGCAGTGACATTGTGTTCGCACGTGAGTTAATTTGCATAGGAATTTGATACGTGCAGTGACATTGCGTTCGCACGTGGAACAGTTGAAGGGTAGCATTCCAGTGGAATTTTTTTTTCCAAATTGTTGTCCCTGAATAATTAAACTCGCTAATTTACACCAGTATTTTCAATGATAAACCTGAGACAGTGTCTCCTTCATTGTCACATTGACTTGCAGGTCTTATGTAACTCCCTTTCTGGAGAAGGTTAAAAGACGATCTCCACCTCAGTCTCAGAAACTAAACAACAAATTGAAACAATATAAAACCTAGTCGACATTCTGGGCAAAACGTTGGTGCAAGTGATGCAAACAATTAATTCGTTTTTTTTTTAAAGTCAAGTTGGGAGAGGAGTGCAGACGCTGCAGGCGTGCATTATGCAGCATCCGCAAAGCAAAGCAGCTGCTTGATCTGTAGGAGTGTTAGGATAATGTTATAGGCATTTAAATTCGGCGAAATATTCTCATACGCGTTTAGAAACCTCCGCACCGCGTTCTATCGCTTTTCCGTTCGACAATAAGGCATATTCTTACGTAATGTTCGGCAAACTCGTGTTTTTTTGGATAGACCGGAGACGGTTTGGTACGAAGACCGTGAAGGGACATGGGAGTTATTTAGTTTTGTTTCATAATACTATTACGTATGTGTTATTGTCACGTACGTACGTAACTCACGCACGTACTTGAATATTATCACGTACGTAGGTAATATTATCACGTAGGGTCCACGTGATAATTATTACGTACGTAGGGCCCACGTGATAATTATTAAGTACGTATACACAACGTATACTCGTTCAAGGATACACGTACGTATTATCACTTACATATGCAATACATGTACGTACGTAATATGTATTTATTTATCAGGTATGTACGCAATAATAATACTAATATTGCGTTACTACGTAATATTATATTATCACGTACGTATGTGATTAATTAAATGTATCACGTACGTACGTTGTGATTGTCATATGTATAGTAGTAGGCCCTAAATAAGAAAAATATGTTCATCTCCTCTTGGTCTTCGTACCCACGTACCCGCCTATCCGCATATCCGCATATCCGCGTACCTGCGTAATCGCGCGATTTCGTGTACCATACTTCGAAGTAATAAAATCTAGGGAACTGTTTAGCAAGGTGCAATGAACAGTGTTAGGGAAAATGAAGCAAACGAAAATTAGGGAGCAAGCATAGCCCGCTGCGAGCATGCGCACATTGAGCCTGCAGGCAGTGCGATGGGGAGTTTTAGAAGTTTTCTATAGAAAAAAAAAAAAAAAAAAAAAAAAGATACAAATAACACTAACTTAATGCAAACGAAAATCTGTCTAATGAATAACACTGTCCCCCTAAACTTGAAAGTACTGGTGTATTTTATTTTATTTTCGCTATTAAGAAACTTCACTCGCAAATTTAAAGTCGATTTTGTAATTGATTGAGAGTCATTTTGTGATATTTTATCGATCATCAACTGGAATGCTGCCCTCTATACGGACATTGGCTGGTACTTTGCCCAACTCAAAACAATAATTAAACACAGTTAGTAAAACAACTACAGAAAGTGGCAATGCCTGGTGCGTTGTCCTCCAAAGACGATATGATTTCTTTATCATTGTATAAAATGTTTAAGAGCAAACAAGATTCATAAAATCTAGGCCATCGGCTATTGACAGTGACCATACCTGGTGCAGTGTCACTTGTAAGGGATACCCTCTTCGGTGCATATTAGCGCCGATTTCCAAGAGGCCCCTTCCTTCAGAAGAACTTGAACATCAAAACTTAAACCATTTTACAAAAACACGGAAGGACGTTACTACTTAAATAGCCATACAGAGAAAACTGTTGGTTAATAAATAATACTAATTCCTAAATTGAGCTCTCTGTTAAGGTGACATATACGCTCGTATAGTAACACTAAAAGGTAAAAAAATCTGGGATTAACAGCGTCTGAAAAAGCGCCGCATTGTCTATACTTCGCTAGTCTGTGAGCAGTGAGGGCACAATTGACAGTTTATTTTAATGATCGTAGTAAAATCAAAAGTCATAACTTTGGTTAATTATACTTTGCATAAATTTATATAAAAGACATTTTTATTCTGTGAAGAGCTTTTAAGCTCGGTTCATTATTAAGTATTTAAAGATAAACTTATCTGTGAGTAAAAAAATGCTTACAGAGAGAATGACTTTGGGGGGAAAAGACTCACAAGTAGATTGTATTTTGTTTCATTGTAAATGTTGCATGTTTGATTTTTTTGCCTTTGTGTGCATTGCTCTCTGTGTGGTGTTTTTTTTTTAATGGTATCCGTCTGTTGTCTCTGACAATAGACAAAATTAAATGTTTTTAAATCAAATTAATCGTTGCGGCTACGAAAATGTCGAATCGTTAAGCAAAATCGAAGCAGATGTTGAAAGGAATACTACTTGAAATCAGTGTTATTTTTTTTCACAACTACAATACGTCGGGCAAAAAAAGTTACGGTTTTGAAGCGGCAAGCCTCAAATTGACGAAAATACGAAATCAACTTTAAAATGTCGGGCAGTATTGGAATAAATAATACCTGAAATCGGTGTTATTTTTTACCTTTACTGCAATACCTACCCGGATATTTACTTGACTACGCGTATGACGAAAACTGAAAACAAAATTCAAATCGGTCAAAAATAAATTGTATCGAAAATCACATCGTAAGCGATTTTTTTTACGAAAAAAAAAAAAAATCACTCCGCTTTCTACGTGTAGGCCTACACGCTAGGAAAATGATGAAAATAACGCGAGGAAAACATCACAGCGTTAGTGAGAGTAAAAATACCCGAAATCAGTATTCTTTTTCTTGCCACAAAATGGGTTATGGAAATAACAAATCAAAATGACGAAAATAACGGCATAAAAATTAATCATCCGAAACGAGAGAAGTAAATACATGTACATGTACGTGCAAATTTGGCAACAGAAAAAAGACCGAAATTAAGATTTAAAACAAGTATGAATACCGGTTCTACATTGTCTCAAAAAGTCGAAAAGCGAATTTTAGCAAACGGTGGGAAAATGACGGCAGCAAAAGAAAATGAAATTGACGAAATTACGACAAAAAAACACCATAATGAACAAAATATCTGTTTAGAAAATGACTGAATTTCAGTTATATACAGCGGCATTTCAAAAACATCAAAATTGTTGGCATTGTCGAGAAGTGCCTTCAAAAAGACCTAATTGCCCCCCCCCCACCAAAAAAAGTACATTGTGAAAGGGTACAACTTATTTGCAACCTGCCATTATCGGCGTCGGCACATGTTCGTGTGCATTATGACAAAAAAGATCATGTCTGTTTTTAAAAGTAAATAGTGGAAACATGGGTAGAATCGTTTAGTTTCTATTTGGTAACAAGTGGCCTTATTACAGGTAGGCTTAGACATAATGCTTTGGAATGTTTCACTTCAGTAACAAATGGGCTAGGCCCAGTGTTTTTGTAACCCTGTTCACTTAGGAAAGAGTTGCAGCTTTCATCAAAGAGACTGATGATCTCAAAGTTGAGACAGACTGGATGAGCTAGGCTGCTTTGTCTGGACGAAAATCAACCCTCCAAGGCTCCAACAGCCTCATCACACAGAAACTCGAGGAACCGGAAGCAGGGAGGAGGACCGACAGATGAACGGATGACCTGCTTGCTGGTCTACCCATTACTGATTCTTGAGGTTAGTTTACATGTTGGCCTCCTCTTCGCAGGATCAACCAAGTCACAGAACTCATCAAAATGGGCGATCTGACTCTGTTTTAAGTTTCTTCGACAAACAACGAGTTCTGGTATCCTTTCAGAAAAATGAAGACCACTAACTGATGAGGGAATTGCTTTACTGAGACTGATGAGCCTGCCTCAAGACATCGTCAGGGCTCCAACAGCCTCATCAAACAGAAACCCGAGGAACCGGAAGCAGGGAGGAGGACCGACAGATGAACAGATGACCTGCTTGCTGAGCTTCCCATTACTGATTCTTGAGGTTAGATTTTAGTTACATGTACCTAAAGAATAAGCAGAAACAAGTAATCAAAGTGGGTGATCTGGCGCTCTTCTATGTGCTGGGCTTCCCATTACTGACTATCAGGTTTGTGTACATTCAGCCTGCTTAAACAGAAACAATCAAGAACTAATCAAAATGGGCGATCTGGCGCTATTCTATGTTCGTCCAAAAACAACGAGTTCTGGTAGCGGGGCTTTGCTTTGTGGGTTATTCAATGTTGTCTTTCTCTTTTCTAGCCCTGGCACTGTTACATCTCAATAAATCAAATGTTTTCTTTCGTCATTTGAATCCTTCCAGAAAAATGAGGACCACTGACTGATGAGGGAATTGCTCTACTGGGATTGATGAGCCTGCCTCAAGACATCGTCAGGGCTCCAAAAATTAACAGCCTCATCAAACAGAAACTCGAGGAACTGGAAGCAGGGAGGAGGACCGACGGATGAACGGATGACCTGCTTGCTTGGCTTCCCATTCCTGATTATTAGGTTAATTTACATGTAGGCCTCCTCTTAACAGGAACAATCAAGTCACAGAACTAATTTAAATGGGCGATCTGACTCTGTTATTATGTTCGTCCACAAACGAGTTCTGGTAGCAGGGCTTTGCTTTGTGGGGTTAATTCAATGTTTTCTTTCTCCTTTCGAGCCCTGGCACGAATACAGCTCAATAATTCTAATGTTTTCTTTCGTTATTTGAATCCTTTTAGCAAAGTGAGGACCACTGACTGATGAGGGAATTGCTCTACTGAGATGAGGATGAGCCTTCCTCAAGACATCGTCAGGGCTCCGACAGTCTCATCAAACAGAAACCCGAGGAACCGGAAGCAGGGAGGAGGACCGACAGATGAACAGATGACCTGCTTGCTGGGCTTCCCATTACTGATTCTTGAGGTTAGATTGTAGTAACATGTACCTAAAGAATAAGCAGAAACAAGTAATCAAGGTGGGTGATCTGGCGCTCTTCTATGTTCTCCCACAAATAAAGAGTGCTGGTAGTGGGGCACTGCTTTGTGGGGTTAATTCGAACATTTCTTTTCCCCCCCCCCCTTGCTCTACCTTTCAGATATTTCTTAATAATAATTCGGATATTTTCTTTCGTCATTTGAATCTTTTTACAGACATGAGGACCACTGACTGATAAGGGAATTGTCTTACTGAGATGGATGAGCCTGCCTTAAGCTACCATAAGATGGGAGGACCGGCGGTTGACCGACTCTGGCTGCTTGGTTGGCCATTACCGATTCTTGAGGTATGTTTACTTGAAAAAAGACCAGGGATATGTAGGCCTACACTTAAATTTGTTATTCCTTTAATACTATGTCACCTCTTACGATGCTTGATTTCTTCTTTAAATATTAAAGATAATATTGCTAGTTCACTCTTTCTGTCATGTTTAATAAGATGAGGACCGCCAAGCTTGGATGAGACTGGACAATTACGAAGCTGCTCTTTCTGGACAAGGATGCCCTCATCAGACACTTTCCAATTTGCGGAATATTGGAACAAAAATTTGCAATATTATAAAACTTAAAAACGACGAAAATACGAATTCTTACGCCAAAGTTACCGCTATAATTGGAAGAAATAATAGCTTAAATCACTGTTACTTGTTAACTTTACTGAGATACCTATACCTGAAATATTTGACAACGAATATGACGAAAATTGAAGAAAAAAAGTCAAATGTGTGTAAAATACATTGCAGTGAAAATCAAATCATGAGTGGATTTTTTTTCTCACAGAAATGCTTCTCCGCTTCCAACAAGTGGCTGAGAAAATGATGAAATTGACGCCGAAAATAACTGAAATCAGTGTTGTTTTTACCTTTACTGCGATACCTACCCGAAATATTTGACTAAAAGCGTGTGACGAAACGTAGAAACAAAAATCAAATCGGTCCAAATTAAATTACAACGAAAATCACATAGTATGTGGAGTTTCTTCTCGCAGCACGGCACTCTGTTTCTACAGGTAGCTACAGGAAAATTACGAAATTTACACCGAAAATCAACGCGGCATATAAATGAAGTGACGAAACATAGTTTACACGGCTAAAAAATCACAGCGTTAGTGATAGAAATAATACTTGATATCAGTGTTATTTTTCTTACCTACAAAGTAAAAAAAAATCGATTGCGGAAGAACGAAATTAAAGAGACGAAAATTACGGTAAAAAGATTAACAGCGGCAGCGAAAGAAATAAATATTTTAAAATTGGTTATTTTCTAAACTTCTAGGAACTATGCCATGAAAAAAATTGCTAAGGAAAAAATGACCGAAATAATGTCAACAAAAAAATTGCAAATTATAATCGGCAGCCACTTCCGGTACGGTACTACACTGCTTTAAAAAGTCGGAAAGCGAATTGTGGTAAACGGTGGGGAAAATGACGGCAGAAAAAAAGGTAAAAAAATTACGGAAATTAAGGAAAAACTCCATTATATCGATGTAAAGAAAATGACTGAATTTCAAAGGCATGTTAAAGGCATTCCCTCCAAGTTCTAGGCCTACACCACATCTTTTAAGTATTATTCGTCAGCGAAAATAACTGCAATTTGTGACATTGTCAAGAAGTTTGCCTTTAAAAAGGCCAGAAATAGCCAGGTTATGCATGTGAAAGGGTACAACTTAAGCATGGGCGTCGCCAGGATTTTTTTCTAGAGGGGGGCAAAACATATTTTTCGCAAAAAATTCTTGTATTTCTCGACATATTCTCGATTTATCAGTTTTAGAGGGGTCGGGCAGGGACATTTTGCCCCCCCCCCCAAAAAAAAACCCATTAAATCTACACCACTATGACTTTGCGCCTCTTTTTCTTTTCTGTTTTCTTTTTATTTTCTTTCTTTTTCTTCTCCTTTGAGTTACTCATTTGGTTGTCTTACTTTGACCTTTGATAACGTTTAAGGCCGATAGTGCTGTTTTATTGAAGGGGAGAACACGAAAACCATAACGGAAACAAAGCTTTGCAGTAGTTAAAAAGATCGGTCTAATATAGACTTTCACGATCACATCTTTGTGGGCTACAAGTATACCGTACTTAACGTAAATTTCAAAAGCAAGCATTTCAAGATATGCGACAGGTTTAGAGTAACATAGAAAACTACTATTTCCTTGTTGATTTTAGCCTACGTGTAACCCTCCTTCCGTATAGTACTATGTTCAATGTAAGTCCGATTTGGAAGGGATCGGCAAGGATTAAGATGGCATTTGTCATCTTAATGTCACGTGAATTTCTTTTAATGGTTGTTTATAGTGTGCGAGTTATATGCAGTTTCCAAAGCAACCTGCCATTATCAGCGTCGGCACATTATGACAAAGTAATTGTGTCTGTTTTAAAAAGGAAATAATGTACACATGGGTAGAATCGTTTGGTTTCCATTGGGTCCTACCCATGACCTGGTTATAGGTAGGCTTAGACATAATTATTGGCTACATTTGCAATGTTTCACTTCAGTAACAAATGGGCTAGGCCCAGTGTTTTCGAACCCATGTCCACTTAGGAAAGAGTTGCAGCTTCCATCAAAGAAACTGATGATCTAAAAGTTGAGACAGACTGGATGAGCTAGGCTGCTTTGTCGGGACGAAAATGAACCCTCCAAGGCTCCAACAGCCTCATCACACAGAAACTCGAGGAACTGGAAGCAGGAACGAGGAACAACAGATGAACGGATGACCTGCTTGCTGGGCTTCCCATTACTGATTCTTGAAGTTAGTTTACATGTAGGCTTCCTCTTAGTCACAGAACTCAAAATTGGTGATTGGCGCTTTTCCGTGTTCTTCCACAACGAGTGCTGGTATAGCGTTGAGTTGCTTTGTGGGGTAAAAATCGAAGTTTTCCTTCTCCTTGCACATATTTCTTAATATTTGGTTTTTTTCCCCGTCATTTGAATCCTTGTAGAGAAATGAGGACCACTGATTGATGAGAGAATTGTCTTACTGAGATGAGGATGAGCCTGCCTCAAGCCATCGTAAGCTGGGAGGACCGACGATGGACTGACACCGCCTGCTGGCCTGGCCATTACTGATTATTAAGGTGAGTTTACATTGAAAACGAAAAAAGACCACGGTATGAGGATTATAATTTGTTATTCCTCTGATTGTAGTTTGTCCCTCCTACAAAATCCACAGTGCTTAAATTTCCTAATATATGTATTTTTTTTTAATTTGCTTGCTTATTTTGTCATGTTTAGGACATGAGGACCACCAAGCTTGGACGAGACTGGACAATGACGAAGCTGCTCTACTGGACAAGGATGCCCTCATCGGAAACTTGAGTTAAAAAAACTAGCTTGCACAATATGAAATGATAAATCGACTGCATAATGCAACGTCATTCATGTTATACACTAAGGCAACAACACTAAAATAAAATGAAAAGTAATTTTGATTTCATTAAATTATATATGCCTCTCAAATAATCTTAAACCGGATACTGCAACATACAGTTAACAATGGACAATAATGGAAACTTGCTTAAAAATTATTTTAAGGGTAATAATTTGTCACTGGCTTTTTAGCAGTGACATGTCTGGGAGAAGGAATGTTCCTTTGATCTGTCCTGGGTCATCCAAAATTATTGCATCAATAAGTTAATAATTTCATACTCCTTACCTTTAATGCATTCAATTTGATCTTCTCGGTAAATTATAAACGAGGTCTCGCCTATGGCTTTCTATTTGGTTTTTGTTCAGTTGACAATGGAGAATTTTGCTCTATAAATTTAATTTGATATTGAAGGTGCAATTTTAAGAAAACCAATTTAAGTCATAAGAGTTTTGAAAGATTTCAAAAAGGATTAATTTATTGTTTAAAAACTGAAGAAATGTAACAAACTTTATTTAAATTTAACGTCTTTAACAAGAAGTCGGTTTAACTAAAACGTGACTTTCTTTCCATTGTATATTCATTAGAAAACACAAGAACGTTTAATTTTTAGGAAAATTTAAAGAATAAACTGTTCAGGAACTTCTATCCATCAAAATGCATTGCAACGGGTATAAGTGACACTCAAATTACATTTGTGTTTGTCCTTTTGTGATATATTTCATTGCACTTTTTTTTACTTGTTATATTTTTTACTTCGTATGCACAATTGGTTTTCTTGGTGGTTTTGCACGTCTTTTTATTTTCTTATTAATAATTAACTAACCTCACAAAAGGATAAACGCAAGTATATCGAGTGTTGAACTTGCCTCGCATCAAATATTTTTTGTTCACCTAATAGCTAAATAAGACAAAATATAGTCCTGAAATGTTTCAAAATAATCTAGGATATTTTAGGAGGGGGGGGGGGGGCATTCCAAAGTTTTATCTTCCCTTTTTAAAATCTTATTCACAAAATGGCGACATACAAAAACCTGGCTTTACCGTGCACACTCATGTAGTCGTTGCTTATGTAATATAATCTATGATATAATAAAGTGATTATTAATTTCTCAAACTTTTTTCCTCATTTGGAATCTTTTGTATTTGTTTGTATGAATTGGTTTAAATATTTTTATGTCAATAAGACTAAGGAATTAAACAAAATAAATAAAACTTGAAAGATGTGAGATACTTGATATCCTTGGAAGGTTTTCAGTATTTTGCCTATTTTTGTTTTAGTTGATGACGGGGGAGTTCAAGCTACTACAAAAGTAACAAAACCCAGCTATAATGACGTTTTATTATTTATGGGCGATTGGGGGCGGGGTGCGCACATACAGGCACGTCGGGGAATATAAAATAATTAGGTGTTTTTGTAAGGGAAATCTTTACTCTTAAACGGAAATAAAACAATCTCCTAGGCTCCTAGGTTCTACCTTTTAAGATTGTCCAATAAAACTACCCGAATTGGCATACGCCGGCCAAATCACAATTGCATGCCCCCATGGGCTTTTAAAAAGAACTTTTGCAAATGGAAAAGACACTTTGGAAACATCCAATCAGTTTGAATATGCTTCATGAATTTCTGAATAAACGAGCACATTTGTAAACAGTATTTAATTACTATTATTTTTCGATTATTTTTTTCGCAAGTCCCATCATAAGGAATAAGTTAACCGGACCATTTTTTTCCAAGAGTGTGTCTCTAATGGAGTGCTTTTTTTGTTCGAGTTCAGCGAAGATCTATACCCGCCCTTCCCTTCACAGCGATAAACTACAATAATATTGTCGTTTTTCTTTACCTATCCGTCAGTGTAAGGTTGTTTTGGTTTTCTTCCTCACGGAAAATAATGAAAAAAGTTTGGTATTACCAGCAAAGCTCAGAGAGACTTGAAATTTAACATATATTTTTAAACTGATGTAGGCTATACCTAAAAGTTAAAACGTCAAGATGACGTCACCAGGTGTCAAATTACACTAAATCAAAGTTTAATATAGGTTTTCCCGCACATTTTAAAACTTTTTTTCATTCAAATTCATAAACGGTTTACTTCAATCTCGTCTTGAAAATTCATGATCTTGCATAGTACCCCCATTCAAGTTCGTCTGTCGCTCATTTTCGCAACAATTTCATCCCTTATTTTTTTATAAATTTCATGTAAATTTCATTCAAATACGTCAAATGATTAATTGTATGCTATATCTTCAGTATTTTTATGTTTTCATCTGTTCACAGAAAATAGTCCTCAGGTGATTTTAATTTGCACATCATCAAAAATTGAAGCAAGTATGATGATTTTTTATGTGAAAAATGCAAATAAATAAAACATGGAAGTAATTTAGTAGATGAGGATGTTGTAAGATAGACAAGCATTTGCTACCTTTTTCCGCGACGGCGAAGTAGGATCGTGAATCATCGGGAACGAGTCGTAACGTCAAAATCTCAATTTTTCGCGACTTTCTCTTAAAATATCAGCGAGTTGCCGATGTTTCATGGTCAGATTCATAAATATCTTATTGGGTACTTCAATCCTTTTTTTTCAGACTTTTACATCATTTCTCGAAGAAAACCTTTACAGAAATAATATGGTAACGTTGAACCACTCATTTTGAAACAAAAAGATATAGGAAGTGCGCTACACTAGTCGTGTAAGACGTCCACGGTGGGAGGTCTATAAATCGACCTCCCACGTGGACGTCCTATATCGTACCTCTTTTGTTTGTACTAACTTTTTTGAGGAAGATCCCATATATGTTTTGTGCACGGTCCCCATCGCGAACGTATGCTGGGAATCGCGGACGAAACATATTTGTTCTCTTTTGTTCTCCGTCATTTTTTGTCCACGGATTGATTGCCTGAACACGCCCATCACCCGTACGTTCGCTGTGCCAATCATTGCTTGCCAAATGGAAGACCCAACACTGCACAAATGGAGATATTAACGAAAATACTATTTGATCGTTAGAAAAACAAATAAGCAAAACAACCCAATAAAATACTTCCTAAACATGCCTTCTTCTCTTGTAGTTCTTAATATTATGAGGACTTCTTTTCTAAAAAATATGCCACCAACCATTAACCGCTTACGTCAGGCGAATTTCTTCTCCGTAGATGGGTTGCTTCAAAGTCATCATGGATAATTCAATAGTTTCGATGGGGCAAGTATGTTTATTCATGAAACAGAACAATGCTATAAAGAGCATTATTGTTAGTCAACAAGGCTAATTAACTTTTTTTAAAAGCTTTTTTGAAGTACGGACGTCGCGTCGTCGAGCTACCAAACTGTAGCCTATAGGGGTGTAGACCAGTAAATCGGTCCGAAATTGCCTACACCGGCCAAATCACGATTTGCATGCCCTCAAAATCTTCAGTATTTGAGCATGCTGAGGGCCTTTCTGTGTAATTTGGATGTAATTTGGACCCTAAAAGCGCTCTATTTTGCAATGGAGTGTAGGCATCGTTTTTCAAAATGGCGATGGGCTTCAGGACTATTTTCAGGGGTGATCATCTTCAGATGGAAATCTCTCCTAAAAGTCATCAGTTGACCCCCAAAAATTGAAAAGAAAATGAAAGATGATGAAATAAGCTTTAATTTGATGTGTGTCACCTTGGAGAGTTGTGAGTATTTTCCCCGAATTTCTGAAGTGGGAGCATTTACCATTGGGGTCTATGGAAGTTTATTTACTGGTCTGCTACCTTAGTGGGTGGCGACACTACGCATACAACTAAGTTCGAATCCACGTAATCGCTGCTCATTTTCATTGACTGTTTTTCGTCTGTGAATGTGTCGTTGAGAGTGTCTTGCAGCGATTTCAAGGAATAACGATATGCATGACATTTGAGCAACTCACCTACGGAAACCTACGGCAGCCCATGACACAAAAAATGACGCTCAATGATTACAAACAATAGAAAGGTGTATAGAATAGACCATTATCATGCTGCGGCCATCTTGATTTTTTTCCCATTCAAATCAACGTAACCAAATCGATGCTTAAAGGAGAAAGTGTCTGGCTCATTTTTGCGCAAAACAAAAATACCATCAGTACCGATATTGGATAAGGGAACAAGACTGAAATGGTGGCAGCGCGATAAAGGTCTATTGATCACGAGTTGGCATTTCGCCTTGGTCGCGTGGCATCGTAAAGCACGTGGAGACGCATCTTTTCAGCCATTGCGCACGCGCCGTTGGATGCATAATCCTGATATGCACTATCGATAATTAAGTTGAAACCATAATTCTGCACAAAAGAACGCAGACCTATTGTTGCACTGCACTTTATTGTGTGTCATTCTCGGAACAGCATCGGTATTTCAAGGACAGTGTTTGTTGACTTAATAGCTCATTTGTGGGTGACTGTTGCTCGTTGGTGAATCTATACCTGACCTGTCTTGGCTTGGGGAACGCATCAAGTATTGGAGCCGCCCGGATATAATTGGAGGTAGGTTATAAATTAAATTTGATCATCTTCTTTTTAAAAGCCGGTATAAACTGAAAAGTTCGATGACCTATCATAAATGAACAATATCCCTTTCTGTAAAAGAGCGTATTAATTATTTCATTGTTTCATGTTCAAATTGTGTAATTCTTAACACTGCTATACTGCTGTTATAGGTTTTCCCGGCTATTTTAACAATTGTATCACACGAATTCCCTATATCGATACTTTAATTTCGTCCCCGATCATCGCCAAGCTCACTTCTCGATTTGAATTTCAGAAAGCCACTACTAGATTTCATTTAAGGTTCAGTATAATTCAAATTGGTAGCATTCCGATTCGTCCAAAATCTTTGAAATTCGTCTCGTGAAACAATCGGCGTTGAATTGACAAAGCAAATTCGTTTTTTGTCATTCGTTTTCATGTTGTTGTCATTACATTTCGTCCCTGGTGACTTAAATCGTATACGATTAGAAAATGCGCCCAATCTTTAGACTTATTTGAAGAACTATGCGTAAAACAATGATAATTCAACATATATTTCCTTATATGTATAAATAAAAGTAGTTAGCTGTAAGGTATGAATTTTTATTTCTGTGTTTCACAATTAACATTAGAGTCAGGAATTGACATTTCACAATATGCACTTATGACATGGACACTAAGCATTAAGTTCAAAGACCTTCGTAATGTTGTTCTTTGATAGGCATACCTTATTTCTGTTGTTTTATTCATATACATATATCAAAGAGTAACTTTACGAAGGTGTTTGATTTTAAAGCTTAATTTCCATATTTCTGATGTTAATGTTAATTGTCAAAGAAAACTCAAAACTTACAGCTATACTTTCATTCATAAGGAAACAATATTTGTTAAAAATTAAAATTTATTAAATGCGAAAACAAGTCCAACGATTAAGCACATTTTTAATCGTAACGTTTCAAGTCATCAGAGACGAAATGTAACGACAAGAACATTAAAACAAATGACAAAAAACGAATTTGCGTTTTTGATTCAACGCCGATTGCTTCACGAGACGAATTTCAAAGATTTTGGACGAATCGGAATGCTAACAGTTTGAATTATACTGAACCTTAAATGAAATCTAGTGGTGGCTTTTTGAAATTCAAATTGAGAATTGAGCTTGGCGATGTTTCGGGGACGAAATTAAAGTATCG